CTGGAATGATCCCTTTTTGAATAGCACTGTTAAATCCAAGTAAAATCCAAGAACACTTTAGAATAAATTCCCACAATAAAATCCACAAGAATAATTTTAACTATTTTAAAATAATCCAAGCTCCAATAAATCACTTAATATCCAAGTTAAATAATACTCCAAATATATTGATGACTTAAAAGGTAACTGATGACTTTAAAGATCACTGATGACTTAAAAGGTAAGATATGAAAAATATCCCGTAATATATATATAAACTAGGAACATTCCAGAAAAGTCTATTATGTTCTAGAGTAATCATAATCTAGCAATTTCAACAATAAAGATCATTCCGGAAATTTCTATCTAAATATAATGCATGAATCATAATCTAGCATTTTCTACAACAGTTAAGAAAGTTCTAGTACATACATGTAATTTATGTTCTAAAAATAGAACAATGATAATATTGGAAATACCAACTGGTCAGATATACATTATATACATGTAATATGTTGCATACATAACACTATATCAAGCGGCCAGTCTATGTGGCATAAGGCGGGTAGTTTATGTGAGAGATAAAGTTTACTGTATCAAGCGGCCAGTCTATGTGGTATAAGGCGGGTAGTTTATGTGACAGATAAAGTTTACTGTATCAAGCGGCCAGTCTATCGTCACCTGAGTGGTAAAAGGTCGTAACTATTATTTTTGCCGAAAATCAGATTTAAACATTTCTGTGATACACATAGCAATGTGCATATTCTGTAAAAATATCTTTGCTATATTCCATTTATTGACTTTGTTATTGATTAGAAATTAAAGGCCATAGCAACTTTTCAAAAAAAGTGAAACTAAATTAACGGTAAAAGGGCAGATTTGACAAATATACCCATTTCATTCTCAACTTTTTTTGCAAAACGTATGCGAAACTGACGTATAAGGTAGTATTTGCCAATTTCGCCATTTTCCTTCTAAGCAAAACACTCAATGTGAAACATATGCCCCCTTTATCTGAACAAATTAGCAGTGTTATAGTTTAAAGAATATCACTTCAGTACAGCAGAATTGTTTGTGATAACATAAGAACATAAGAATTTCACAAACATCTTAAATTTTCCACGTTCATTTGTTTATGTTTACAAGAAGGAATCATGGATGAAAAAATATCAGGTTTGTACAATTTCATTAAATTCTTTGCAACATAATTAATTTGTAAAATATTTTATATCATATTTCAGAGACAATATTCTAATACTAGTAAATAACCAGTATTCTAATTCTGCAAAATAAGTTGTTCAGTGGTGTATCTCCCATGTTTATGTAACTGAATCAATTGTGTCCAGGTACATATTTCTTTGATTACATTGCCAAATTATAAAATTTGTTAAGTAATTACTATACGCATTCTTTGTAGGGAGACGTATATTTTGTATGGTCAGATGATGAGATGTACTTTTATATTAATGTGGCTGTCAATAAAGGTAATTGTCTTAAACAATGTGGAAGAAAATAAACTTTGCTGATACAATGTTACTGTTATTGTCTATGGAAGGTGGGAGTTTATGCGAGTTGCTGATTAAACTAAGTCATAATCACAAGTAATAAGCATACTATAAAAGGACCAAGAAAGTCATGTATACTATATGAAACCTTACCACTGCATATTTACTTTTGTGATTATCATTCAGTAAATGCATTTAATTGAATTTAACACATGTTTTATTCCATACTCTTCATTTCAGACAAAGAAAGTAAAGACGAGCAAAATGTACATGAACATGAAATACATGGTAGTAGCAAGGAGCAGCAGGTGAATCAATCTGAAATACAGCCTAGTAACCTGCTGCAGGATCAACATGTGAATGATCAAGAAAACCAGGCTAGTGACAAACGTGTGAATGAACGTGAAACATGTGCAAGTAACGTGGAGCAGCACATTAATGAATATTGAAAACAGGCTTATCATGAGGTACAACACATGAATGAAAATGAGATACACGCTATTAATATGGAACAACACATAAATGAACATGAAATAAAGGCTAGTAACGAAGTACAACATGTGGATGCAAATTAAAAACGAACTAGTAACAAGGGAGAATATGTAAAAGAACAAAAAAATGAAATACAGGATCAAAACGTGAATGACAATGAGATACGTACTAGTAACGATGGTCAACACAGGAACAAACATGAAAAGCATACCAAAAACAAGGGACAACATTTGAATGAACATGAAATACAGAATAGCAGCGGCGGACAAAACGTAAATGAAATCAATGGAAATCTTCACAGAGACGCCCAACATCAAATTGATCAGGAGACTAGAGTGAACTTCGTTTATACAAGTTCTTCTGATGACGATATACCACTTTCAAAGTTACTGGAATATGATTTTAAAGGAAAAGAAAGGAAGTCTGTTCGGCGAAAGTTAATCGTTACATATACTGAGTATTCTGATGATTGTAATCAGGACATATCATATGATCTACAAAAGAACATATTAAATTCTACAGATTGAGAGACAGAAGAGTTCCAAAAAATTAGACAGAGAAAAAGGAGACAGAAGAAAAGAAAACAAATTTCTTGTTGCAGAAACAAATCGTGGAAGAAAAAAAGCATCTACATTTATATCAAAGTCTAAGAAATTAGTGAACAAACGAAAGAAGGAAAGTCCCCTACAAGATCAATAAAACGTTTAAAAGAAAGAAGAAAAAAAATCAAGAAACTTACAAACACATTATGAATTTAAAAAAAAGCAGTGAAGCGTAGCAAGACAATTGCATCACTTAAGGCATAATTAAATCGACTGCATGAGGCTAGATTAGACCAACTGTTAGCAGTAAATATAAGAAAACGAGTTCAAATTCCCGCAGAATGAAACTGTATCTTTGCAGCTGTTGCTGAGAGTGTTGACAACAATTTATGTAAGGGCGTAGATACATTTCGAAATTAAACCAGTAATTATACAACCAGACAATACCGAACTTCCCTCTGATAATACACCAAGAGTTATTTCATAGGAACATTGAGAGAATGAAAACCATATTCCTGTTATACCACATAAACGTGCAGACTATAACAGCCCAAAACAGATCAATCCGGAAAAGAAAAATAAATGAAAAAGAGTGGCAGTCATCTGTACGTTAAAGAAACAAACTGTAAAGAAAATCATACAAATCAAAATCGGGTAAAACAGTGAAACAGTGAAACAGTGAAAGGAAAAGGAGTTAAACCAAGTGACTGCTCGAAATGAAGATTCAAATGGAACAGTAACTTCACAGAAACAGAGAGAAAACTTTGAAATGTATTATGCACTTCCAACTTATGAGAGGCAACGTTGCTTTATATGCGTTGTTGTATCGAAAAGCGACCCGGTTAGAAGCACTAAAAGTAAAAGAAAAGTATCGTTGAAATACAGACTTTTTCAAAAGAGAAGAAAACATCCGTGTTTGCCAGAAGTTCTTTTTTAAAACTCTCGTTATTGATGAGAAGCTGATACGGTACACTCTTAAAAGAAAACAAATGGTACATTTCAAGGAACAGATTTGAGGGGTAGGCACACACCCAGTACAAAAATCAATGATGCAAGAGTGAAACTCGTGTACGAACATATAAAAAGTTTTCCTACTATGGAATCTCACTATGCTAGAAAAAGCTCTAAAAACAATTTGTAGCCCATGATTTGAGCATAAAACGTAAGTGGCAACTCTACAAGGATTGGTGTAGTTCAAAAGGATATGTCCTGGTAAAAGAATCGAAAAATAAACAGATATTTTGTGAGAACTTCTTTGCACGAAAGACATTATTCCCGAAGAGTTCCTCTCATATATTGCAAGCTTACCAACAAACAAAAGCAACAAAGACTTCCTTTCTGAAAATTCAGAGTATGAAGATGAAGAATATTAAAATTGGTGAACAATTTACAATAACTGCTAACATTGTAACAGACGAATTAAAAAGTATGTGTTTTATACATGTATAGAAATTTAAGTGAAAAAAATCTGATTGATTTTATGTTTAAAAGTTGGGATGTATTAGGATGGCATCTTAAAACAGGCAATCGTGATTATGTGACGATATGATGACGGAACTGTAAAAGTTTTATTTTTGTTACCCTTGAAAACTTGTATGGATTTTACGCCTTTATCATTTAATACTTGAACACTTTCAAACGATTTAATTCCATTGCTTACAGGACTGTTTATGCCATTTTAGTAATTGTGACCCATTATTCTCAATACATATATGAAGAACAGTTATATTCAATGTAAATGTATTTCAAAAGGAATAATTGTTTTCAATTGTGTTGTGAATTTGCACGACTTCAGATAAAAGTAAGTGGTAAAAGATCAGATGTGTCATATGTCACCCTAAGTATGTGTAAGTTTTGTTTATTTGTTAAGAATGAAAGGGTAGTATTTGTCAAATACAACCTTATATGAATGAACAGTTATTCTATTAACTTGAAATCCCTTGGCGGCATAAGGTCATATTCGCCATATGCGACCTTTTCATTCTAATGTCTAGCAAAAAGTAGTAGGAGAAATGTATGTACGCATGTACAGTATTGATGATATTTATTGATTGATTAGATATTTTGTATTTTTGTATGTAAGAATATAAAGATTAAATAAAAACATCTAACATAAGAATAATCAGTTTTCTCTGAATTCATTTTTTTTTGTTTTTTTAGACAGGTATAAACCTTTAAACTCTGTTTCTGAAAATTATGAAATATGCACTGACGACCTTTTACTTCTTAGGTGACGCTATGTGGTATAAGGCGGGTAATTTATGTGACAGATAAAGTTTACTGTATCAAGCGGCCAGTCTATGTGGTATAAGGCGGGTAGTTTATGTGACTGATAAAGTTTACTGTATCAATCAGGAGGACAGTTTAAATGACTTTATTGATTTATAAAATAACATATTTTAATCACTTATATATTAGTTGATTCATTTATAATATATGTTGGTAAATCTGCGAGATAAAAAAAGATTACAATGACGAACTCAATATTTATGTTAACATTGTTATTTTCCAATGTTTACAGTAAAATATGAATACTACCATTAAAACAACAAAATATGAAAGAAAGTTGCAGAGTAGAAGTATGCAGTATACCTGAAAATAACAAAATACATAGTTAATTTAGGATATACTTTCGAACTATAAATGAAAAGAAGGCAATATAGACTCAAGTAAGATAGAAGTAAAAATTGAAAATACAAATGTCTTATACTTTTATTAGTACAGACCTTCATATTGAAATGGAATCGGTTTTTTCCGTGCCATGTCGGCATTCTACGTAACTTTTTGGCACATCCGTTACCTCTCGCCATAGTCCGTAAACATATCTATTTTTATTTCTAAATTATCAATATTCGTATATATAGCATAAATAGAATTTTAGTTTTTGATAAAATGAAAATGAAATAAATGTCTTTGAAAAGTTACAATTAAATAAGTTAAATAGAGCACTTTGATAAAATATTAAGCTTGATCAGGTTCCTAAATATGCACATTACAGGTATCTTACCTTCAGTAATCATTTAGGTTAACTTTATACTTGATCTTAATGCTTATATTCATTACCACATTCCGAACTTTTGATTTGGTTGAGTAGATTTCTGAATAACCCTTATCGTTAATAACAAATTTCAAGAATGCTCCTCGATTGTTTGAAAAATCGAAAAACTAATATTTAACAAGCAATTATCATAGTATTGCAAGCAATCCATAAGTCCCCTACCGGTTAGAACCCCAGCAACATTCTGAAGGGCCATTGGCCATTCACTTATGTTTCTATTTTGAGTAAATTTGTTGAAAAAGTTCTTTAAAAGTGATCACAGGAAACAGTTTTTATGTACAGACAGACAGACAGACTGAAGGACACTCTAAAATTATTTTTTTAACATCTCTGTTATCAAAATATAACATTTTGAAAAGCAAAATTTTTAAAAAGGAGATAACTTTTGAAATAAAGATGCAAGATGTCATACATGATGTGAGTGTAACAAAGAACAATTAGTAATGAAGGTATGAATAATGAATGTTTATTTTGAATTTGAAGTAAATGAAAGTTAAAAGAACGATTAGGAAAAATTAAAAGTTTAAGGAGGAGATTATTCTGGAAATATGGATGCTAGATTTATAAACCTTGTCATAATTATTATTATGATGTGGGAGTTTGAAGAAAATCCTATCATGATTGAAGAAGTTGGAGTAAAAATTACCAATTTCTCAAAGTTCAAGTTCAAAAGGGGCATAATTCTGGAAATAGTCTTGCTAGAGTATTGAACTCATAAAAGTTGAGTGATAATAAGAAACATTTATATGAAGATTGAAGTAGATACATTCAGAAAAAAAGAAGTTATTAAAAAAAAACAATATTTTTTTATGAAAGCTTTAAGTTTAAGGGAGGTAATTCTGATAAATTTTGTCCTAGGGTTGTAAACCTTGTCACATATGATGTGGTTGATGACTAGCAACTTATATTTAAAGTTTGAAGAAAATACCTTAAGAAATAAAGAACTTATAGTGAAAAAACTTAAAAACTAGAATCAGAAATCTTGAAATTCAGTCTATTTGTTGCCATAGCAACCAGAATTTCCAACATAGGAAGATAAGAAAAGGATGTTCATAATTTCCATACTGCCATCTACCCATATGTCAAGTTTCATAAAAATATTTTCAATACTTTTTGTGTTATCAATGGATCCAGGTTATGTGTGTAAAATTTGCCATATTTTCAGTCTATTTGTTGCCATAGCAACCACAATTTTCAGTATATGAAAAAAAGAAAAAGACGTGCATAATCTCCATAATGCCATCTAGCCATATATCAAGTTTCATAAAAATATTTTCAGTACTTTTTGCATTATCGTGGGATCCAGGTTATGTGTAAAAATAGCCATATTTTCAGTCTATTTGTTGCCATAGCAACCACAATTTTCAACATAAGAAAAAAAGAAAAAGTCGTGCATAATCTCCATACTGCCATCTATCCATATATTAAGTTTCATAAAAATATTTTCAGTACCTTTTGCGTTATCGCGGGATCCAGGTTAAGTGTAAAATTTGCCATATTTTTAGTCTATTTGTTGCCATAGCAACCAGAATTTTCAACATAGGAAGAAAAGAAAAAGACGTGCATAATCTCCATACTGCCATCTATCCATATATCAAGTTTCATTAAAATATTTTCAGTACTTTTTGCGTTATCGCGGGATCCAGTTTTGTGGACGGACGGACTGACGGACGGACGGACAGACAGACGGACAGACGGACGGAGGGTAAACCTAAAGTCCCCTCCGGTAAACCGGTAGGGGACTAAAAATAAGCAAAAAAAAACAGTTTCCTATTATGTTTTCAACATTTACGACCAAATTTCATAATAATTACAGTTATAGGATTAATTTTGCAATGGTAAGATATTCAAAATGCTGAGGCAAGACATGCCTAGGGAATGTATACTTTGTTAACACACCTATGGAATGTGTAATTCTTTAACACACCTATGGAATGTGTACTTCTTTAAAAGCGGTTCCTGCAGCGTTGCTTGCCTTACAATACCAGTGACCAGTGTGATCGACAGGGACGTACTTATTTACAAACAGTGTTGACTGATAAGTCTCATACATGACTTCTACATCGTTCGGTAGACCACGGTTGTTATTCTAAAAAAATAAATGTTTTGAATAAACTAATTATTTGATAATTTTCACACTTTGTAAGTGCAGTTGCCAGTATTAATGATAAAATGATAAAAAAATACAACAGTTCTACAAGTAATACGTGAGGTGTATGTATCTTGTAGCTAGCTATAAAAGTAAACTAGCACGTGAGGTAGGTGTATGTATCTTGTAACTAGCTATAATTGACTGTTACGTGAAGTAAAATTTATGTATCTTGTAGCTAGCTATAATGAACTAGCACGTGAGGTTTATGTATCTTGTACCTAGCTTTAATTAATTGGTCCGTGTGGTATATGTATCTTGTACCTATCTTTAATTAACTAGCACTTGAGGTATTTGTATCGCGTACCTAGATTTAATTAACTAGAACGTGAGGTATATGTATCTTGTACCTAGATGTAATTAACTAGCACTTGGTGTATATGTATCTTGTACCTAGATGTAATTAACTAGTACTTGCGGTACATGTATATTGTACCTATTTTTATTTTATTAACACGTGAGGTATATTTATTCCCTGCGGTCTGGAGACCGCAGGGTATTGGTACGCGTTTAACTTTTGAGGCATGGAGGAGCACGTGACCTGTTTTCGGTACATGGAGGAGCACGTGATCTGTAAACCTTACATGATTGGTTAATTGACCCTTTCGAAAACCTGGCTAAATACCGTTTGCCGATACGTGACGGATTTACCTCTAGGGAATAAGGCAGAATTACATCTTATTAGAACAAAAAAATATTACGTGATATTTCTAATTTTCTATAAATATTTTACCGTTTAAGGTTGAAAAACTTGAATGATGTGTTTGAAAATTATCAATGTTTCTTTAATATGTATCTCAAATTTTACAGACAATAAATTGCTATACTGAAAATCTACAAAATTGAAATATTTGATCGAAGAGGCATTTGCCATAATAAATAGAGATATTTGCTGCGTAAACTTGTGTGTTTACTTTATTTTTTTACTCCAAAATTATTTATAAAATGGTAGGCCTATTTAATCATTTTCTTAAAAAGAAATAATTGTTTTTTGTTCGACCTTCTCCGGTCATCAATGGTCACCAGTTTCCAAAGACCTTCTTCTATATTGATCGACTATATGTTGTTCCCCCAAACCATGTTGAAAATAGTTAAATGAAATATCTTATATCATTAAAAATGTTCCCCGCAGAAAACTATTTTACTTGTCTTGTACCTAGATTTCATTAACGTGAGGTATATGTATATATCTTGTAGCTAGCTATAATGAACTAGCACGTGAGGTGTATGTCTCTTGTAGTTAGCGATAATTAGATAATTATTTAGCACGTGAGGTGAGTGTATCTTGTAGCTAGCTATAATGAACTAGCACGTGTGGTGTATGTATCTTGTAGCTAGCTATAATTACTTACTTGTGACAGTAATACTCAAACTATGTTAAAATCAGAAATTTTCGCTTATGGGTTTAATTTTGCTAATTTGGAGAACTGAAGACCTTTTACACTATGGCAGGTTTAGGACACAAACTATTGTTTTGGCTGAAGGCTAATGTGATCATTGTTAGTGCCCGAAACCTGCTGCAGTATCGCAGAATCATACAAATTCAACTGAAAATGAAATTTGCAAATATCTTATCTTTGTAAAAATGTAATCCGAATTCGAAATGTTGATTCCTCTAAAAAATAAATGACTTTGTATCATAGGAAAAATGACTTAGGGAACACATAAAGCTCATATAGAGTATGTTGAAAAAGAGAAAGGCAAGTTTGACTTAGCAGGAGCCATCATGCTATTCCCTTATGATATAATCCGAAATGGAAATGCTGATTTTGCCACAAGTAAGCCTTTAAATAAATATGAAGGTATGACAGAGCAACAAATAATGTCTGAGGAAACACATAAAGCTGACATAGAGTACGTTAAAAAAAGAGAAGTAACGATCATAAACATAAAAAATTACTTTTATATTTTCATTCTGATATCCAATTCGTGTTCAAACGATCATAATACTTACAATATGTTGTATAGTAACATGGAATTTTCATATAAAAAAAACAAAAACAAAAAAAAAGATTTGGTAAGAAGCAATGAAAATAGACAATGGAAATAATTTTTTAACTTAAAATATATCAAACCTACCGATTTAGGAACAAAGTCCCATTGTATATGTGGAGCAGGATATCCAGTTACTTGACATTGTAAAGCAAAACTTGAAGATACCGGTGGTTTAATGATGTTCACAGTGGGCTTCTCTGATGTATAAAATGTACCAAAAATATCTATATAGATTATGTCGTAGAGTACTTGGAAAAAAGGAGGGGATTATAAGAAAAAAAAACAGTATTTATAAGTAGGTCTGAGGTATTTAAAATGGTTATGGTTTTATTTGGGAAACGATATTATCTGAATGCCCATTTGATTTTGCAGGACAATATTGATCTTTGACTTGTATACAGTTGCCTCCATTTACAACGCACTCGTTTATAACTAATTATCGTTTATAGCAAATTAAATCTGAAATCCCCGATAGCTTCCTTCTTTGTTTTGTATTAAATCATGCCGCTTAATACGTACTCGTTAAAAACGAATTATATATACATGCATAATTATATATAAAGAAATGATAGATTCTTGGTATGTTCAAATGTACTGATAACAATTTGGTTTTATCCATCTGTAAACGGGTTTACCGTTATGTGAGGATTTTGTTGTTTTATTTTGTTGTAACAGTACCTGCAAGTATTCCAATAAAATGAGATTGTTCTGCTGTATATCCGTTAAGTGTTGCAGCACATGTGTACGTTCCAAATGTTGACTCTGTCAATTTTTTAATATGGAGAATATCTATACCAGGCCCTCCACTCGTGTGTCCAGATATAAGCTGCTTGGTAACACCTCTTGGCAAAGAAAATGTCTGCAACGACAAAAAATAAACCTGCGTAAGTTAGATTTTTTACGAGTTTATACAAATTTATTTTAGTTCGGTTGTGTTGAAAGTTATTAGTTTATTGAAACCCTCTCGATTCCGTTCCTGGAACCAACAAGTATTAAGCAATGAATGTATATTTTCTTGCTCAATTAAACAAGGACGTGCTCCACATGGCTTCGAGCCCCCGCGGACAACAATCCTTAGATTACTAGGTCGACGGATTAACCACTCGGTCATGTCGCCACTCTGTTTCTGTTAAAAGTAGCTCAGTTTCCGAACGAGTCCATAGTGCTTCTGCATGGTATCTTAACAGTCGTACCAAAATACATATCCGACAATAAAATGCACTATATTCTATGTAGCATTTATAAATGAATTACGCCTTGAATGCAGTTTAAACTCTTATTTTCACTTGTAAATAATATTGGTAAAGACTTTAATATATCCAAAACATGTAAGAACAATTGTTTTACCGGAAATATTAAATAAACAAAGTCATTACATATGGCACGTTATTTTGTTTACCCCATTGAATTTCCATGTATATGTGTCAGCAACAGGGTTACTGACACAAACAAGCTGTGTTTCCTTCAAGAAGTGATCTTTATTGGGTCCATTAATCTGTACGGCAAGTGGCGGCACCGTCGTTTTTGGCGCCGCTGATGTTACGAGTTTAGCTGCACCCGTAGTAGCTTCTGCAAGTATTCAATATGTAATATATGAGCCGCGTCACGACAAAACCAACATAATGGGTTTGCGATCAGTATGGATCCAGACCAACCTGCGCATCCGCGCAGTCTTTTGCTACTGATAATTCTTGTATAGTTTTAGATTAAATTGCATCTTTCTGAGTAGTGCGGACAAAATTCTGATATATGATTTTACAGTACTAAGGAATACTGTGATATATAGTTAAAAATTACTTAGAAATAGTTATATAGTAAATCATTACTGTGAAATACTCTGTTTTATATCAAAATATTACCGAGAAATACTCTGTTATATTGTAAAACATTACCGAAAAATACTCTGATATATTGTTTGACACTACTGAGAAATACTATGATATACATTTGTATAGTAAAACATTACCAGAAATACTCTGATATATGGTTTGACACTACTGAGAAATACTATGATATATAGAAAAATATTACTGAGAAATACTCTGATAATTATATGGTTTGACACAACTCAGAAATACTCTGATATATGGTTTGACACTACTGAGAAATACTCTGATATAAAATAAAACATTACCGAGAAATACTCTGATATATTGTTTGACACTCCTGGGAAATACTCTTATATAAAATAAAACATTACCGAGAAAGACTCTGATATATTGTTTGAAACTACTGTGAAATACTCTGTTATAAAATAAAACATATCCGAGAAATACTCTGATATATGGTTTGACACTACTGAGAAATACTATGATATTGTAAAACATTACCGAGAAATACTCTGATATATCGTTTGACACTACTGAGAAATACTCTGTTATATAATAGAATATTACTAAAAATACTCTGATATATGGCTGGACACTATTGAGAAATACTCTGATATATAGTAAAACATTACTGAGAAATACTCAGATATATGGTTCAACACTACTGAGAATTTTTCAGATATATAGTTAAACGTTACTGATATAATATTCTCATTATTACTGTTTTATTTCCTATTTCTAATATTTCATTTGTGATTCTTCAATTATCATGTTATTGATAAGCACGTATTGTATGTTTCGAAAACTGAGTAATAACATATGCAAGTTGACCAGTTTTACTTCTGCCAAGTATCTTTCTAAAAGGTACTTTTTCGATTGATTCGTATTTGCTTTTGTTTTTTATGGTACAAAAAACTTTGTTTCATTTGCAAAACCATTTTTAAAAATTAGCTATATCTAATATGTGGTATACAAATGAAGTCAGCTGTTGGAATAAACATAACTTTTGTCTTACCTCGTGTTGTCGTAGCTGTAGTGCGTGTTATCTTTGTTGAGAAGAAATCTAAAAATAAATGAAGAAGTGCATAAAACTCTTAATTATGCGCAAGGACTCTTAGAAAAGAAGACCAGTATTGAAGAAAGAAACTTCTTTTTGTCAATTTTTTTAACATCTCAATCATTCTGTTTCAGTGAAGTTTAATAATTAAAATGCAGTTACAAAATGTGTATATTTTAATTGATCACAGGTTTCTTATTTTTTTATTATATTTTATTTTGCTGGTTTGTTTGCAGATTTACGTATTTTGTTATAATATACATTCTTTTAAATTAAAATGAAATACTTTTATTTTACCTGCGAAAATATATCGTAATTATATAGTGTATCATATCTTTTATGACAAACCTTGACATGAAATCAATTTAATATAACGAAATATATTACATTAATTTGTTGCATTACACCAAGTTTCATATTCAATTACATTTTCATATGATTTACCACAGATTTAAGAAAAATGAAGACCTGGACATGTCGATTCGGAGCAAAGTCTTACGATGGTGGCCATTTCACCTGGCTGAAATTCGCAATCTTTTTCTACTCTCGTTGAACATTTTCTTTCCCGAGTCTGAAAGCAGACTGAACCTTGATGTTGACAGGTCCACCTTCCCCACGTAGACCAATAAGGTTGAGGAAGGGTACTTGGTTTGGTTGTTGTAATTTTTGACAATTCAGCTGTAGGATTTAAATTTGTTGTAAAGAGTTTTAATAATAGTAACGATACATTCATTTTCCTTTTGAATATTTACTTTTTAAAGGTTTATCAAATAAATTGATATTCTTTTCAAAAAAACACTTATAAAACGATGTGGCAAAGTCTTTGTCGAAAAATCTTTATTACAGAAAATGTTTTATATCTTTAAAAAGTTGATTTAAAAAAAATAACGAATTAATAAATACATCGGCATGATCCTAATTGAGATTTTAACATTTCCCATGGCAAATTTGTACAAATCACATCTAAGCCTGTTTGGCAGCATGCCCCTGCAAGCTTTTCAAATCCAACAACAAAAGTGAGAAAGCATGCAGCAAACTGTTCCAGGGACAAACATGCTGTAATATTAACATAAGCTGACTTAAAAACTGTCCGTAATTTATATCTTATTCTATGTCTACTTTTAGTTTTGTCAGGAATCTATCAACAGTCGCAAAAACAGTTCTCGATCGATCGATCGATCAATTAATCAGTCAATCATTTTAGTTCCAAAACATAAACAAAAAGTAATATGACTGTACAGGCTCTGTTTGATTGAGCCTGTTCATGGACGTTCTGTCAAGTGAAAGCTACCGTCCACGGCCCCTGGCACCGGCTTAACCAAAATTCAACATTTAAACATAAAATGGTATAAATTTTAATCAAGAAACATTCGCAGATGTGTTCATACGGCGGTAATCATCGGAACCTTCAATTTGATTTGTTAGTGTCATTCCATAAAAAGCAGCGTATGGTTCTCAAGTAACAGGATGTGTGTCCCCTAAACGAGAAAAACAATGGGCGGAACTTAACAAAGGGAGACATCATTCTTCTGAATGAAAGAAACATTAGCCTACGTCACAAGCACAAAACTCGAGAAGAAATGTGTTAGTGGGCGCGACTTTAAAGATAAAAATCATTACCTTGTCTGCCTTGAAAAATCTATACATATACCTGAAGTGGTTGGACTTTTTAATAATCCTGAAGAAAAGAAAAATATAATAAGGAACATATTCAGTGGAATTTTTAAACCATAATTGTTGCATGTGTATAACATGCAAAGCATAACAGACTAGTATATGTAGAAATGACAATTTGCAGACTGTAATAAAGAAAATGAGCAAACTTTCAAAATCATATTATCTATATTCATATTTAAATTTTTAGTTTTACTAAATTTAAAGGGAAACAAAAATTTAAGAAATTTTAAAAAATTATATATTAAAAAAATTTTTTACAAAAATTTAAAAGGGAAAAAAAAAAAAACGATGAAAAAAAATAAATAAAAAAAACGGGAAAAAAATTTTCCAAAATAGCTTGGGTTTAAAAATTAAAATTTAAAGCCAAGTGTTTCAACATGTTTTTGATTTTTTTTGTTGGTTGGAGAAATTTTCAAAAAAAAAAGTTTTTAATATTACTATTTAAAATTAAAAAAAAAAATTTACATTATTTTTTTACGTTTTAAAAAAAATAAAAACGGTTTTTTTTTCGTCCCCTTTAAATTTTTTTAAATTTTTAAGGGTTTTTTTAAAATTTTTTATTTTTTAATTTTTTTGGGTGGGATGTTTTTCTGAATGGATTTAAGAATTTAATGCACCCCTCTATAAAAGAAATTCCCTTTTCCGATTTTTACCTTTTTAAAATTTTAATTAGAAACAATTCTTATTACATTTTCCCAAAAAAATTATTGTTTTAAAACTTTTTTGGGGGAATTTTATTTTTTTTTTAATTTTTGGTATTTTTGGGTTAAAATAAGAAAAAATTTTTTTTCATTTAAAAATATTGTCAAATTTAATTCTAAAATTTTAATTACGTTTAAAAAAATTTTTAAAATAAAACAAACGTAACAATAAAAAAAGGGAAAATTTTTTAAAATAGACTTTAAATTTATTTTTGAATTTAACACCAAAAATTTAAAAAGTTGCGTTTTTGCCTTGAAATTCAAGTAGTCCTTTGGGGTTCCCAAACTTTAAATTTTAACATTTTTATTTTAAAAAATTTTAAAAATTATTGTTTATTAATTTTTAGCATAAAATTTTGGGTAAAAAGGGGGAAAGATGTTTTCTCCAAAAATTTAAGACAATTTTTAATTTTTTTTTGTAAATTAAATTTTAAATCAAAATTTTTATTTAAAAAAATTTTTTTAATTTTCAGGGTTTTTTCATTTGGGATTTTAAAACATAATAATATAATTTTTCATAAAAAATTTTTAATATGTTGCATAGGGTTTTGCCCAAAAAACCAATTTCTTTTTTTTTTTTTTTTGGAATTATTAAACCTTTTAAAAAAAATTAAAAAAAAAATCCAAAAAATTTAAAATTTTTGACTGAAAAAAAGGTTTTTACCCTATTAATATGGTTTTTTTAGAATGCCCCCCAACTTTTCCCCCTTTTAAAATTTTTTAAAATTTTGTTATTTAAATTTTTTTAAAAATTTTTTTTAAGAAAATTTTAATTAAAAAAGTTTAAGTTTTTAAAAATTTTTAATTTTTTTTAAAAGTTTTTTTGGGGTTTTTAAATTTTAAAAAATTTTATAAATTTAATTTTTCATTGCACATTCCCAATAAAATTTCCAAAAATTTCTTTTTTTTGATTTTTTTTTCCTAAAAAAGAATTGTTGTACATTGCCAAATTTTTTTCTTTTTTTTTAAAACCTAACTTTTAGGTTTTTTCGAAAAAAAAAGATTCCTATTTTTCTATATTAAAAACAAAGTTTTTTAAAAATTTATTTTAAAGTTTGGGTCAAATTTTAAAATTTTAATTTAAAGGTTTTTTATTTTTTGACAAATTCCAAAAAATGGGTTTTTTAAAATGTCTATTTCCCCCATTTCTTCGGGGCAAAAATTTATAACATAAATTTTTCTTTATTTCTTGATTTTAAATTTCCCTTTTTTTAAGTGGTTAAATTGGGGGGCCTGTTTTTTTCGTAAAAAACCCAAACTATTTTTTTTAGAAAAATTTTGAAATAATTTTTTCAAAGAAAATGCCCTTTGACTTTTTTTTAAAATTTATTGGGGTTTTTTTTTGATTTTTTTTGGGGGCTCTTTAATTTTGGAAACCCGGGTTAATTATGGATCTTTTTTTTTGGGGGTTTTTTTTAAACTTTTTGTTTTCGGAGTGAAAGGTTTTTCCCAAAGTTTTTAATATTTTTTAAGACAATGCATTTTAAAACTATAAATTATCGTGCAAAAAATAGTTTTTAAGTTGGTTTAATCCCTTTTTTAAAAAATTTTTTTAATTTTTAAAAAATTTTTTTTAAATTTTTAAAAATTTTTTTTAAATTTTTGTTTTTAAGCCAACTCAAATTTTTTTTTTTTCTTTTAAAACCCCTTGGAAAGATCATATCTTTTAAAAAGATTTCTTTTTATTTTAAACTTTGTTGATCGGGGTTTTTTTTTCTTTTATTTATTTTTTCCGGGGTTCTTTTTTTTTAAATTTTTTTAAATTTTTTTTCAAAACGTACCTTAAATTTTCCTGGGGGATTTTTCTTTGTTTAACCTTCCTTTTTGCATTTTTTTTTTGGGGTTTAAATATGGGTTTTTTTTTTTTGGGGTTTTTTTTTGGGTTCCTTTTTAATTTTGACCCAATTTATATTTTTTGAGAAATATCTGTTTCTTGGAATATCAAAGACCAATTATTAACACCGTTTTGGCTGTTTAAGTTTTGTTTGAAATAGCCGCTTTAACATTGAACTTTTAATCTCCACTGGAGTCAATTCGGTTTGAGGAAAATTAGTATACATTGTTTCCAGATTAAAACTAAATGACTACAGACGTTTTCCGACGACGCTATATAGATATTATACAAAGATTTGCTAGTTTACTGTTAAAATTTAGCCAAAAGTGAACACTTTTTACGAGAAATAACTACTTTTGACGTGCAATCACATATAGACTAATTTCTTAACATCCACCGTGACGTCACATAAATATATGAGTGTGCATTGATCACAAGAAAATAGTTAATTACTTGTCTACTTTGTCATAAATTTCCAAATATCACACTCATGTATATGGAGCTTAACATATTCTACCTTCTGGTATAAAATTCCATCAATTTAAAACACTTTATATATCCAAATTTTCAAATTTCGTGAGAGCTTTAAAATCGCGTTTCCACACCTATTTCAACCTTTAGTGCGAAATAGCATGTTTTCGTTCATAATGATAATGTTTAGAAAATATAAATGATATTATATTTGATTGCTATTATTTATCAATTACAAATGAATGAAAAGTGTGTTTTTTTTAAGAAATATATAAAGAAGTAACTTGCAAGGTACAGCATATCCATCCAGCAGAAATCGTTTGTTAGCTGACATAGAGTCATCTGCAACAAAATGTTTCATTGTCATGCTGTGCTTAAATGTCCAGGAACAAATAACAAATTCCATATCAAATATGTACATTTATTTAAAATATCAGTATTACTCAGTATGTCAAATTTTAGCAAACATATGTGTATCATGTCAACATAGATCACACATTTTAGTGACGTTATGCTCATATGTTTGCTTGTTGTCTTGTTGAATTGAATTACAAATATATTTCAAGAGGTTAATGATAAATTTCATAGATCAAAAAGTGATAATTATAAGTTTTTTAATACCTTCTGGGTAATAAACTATAAAATTGAAAACAATCATGGCAAGATGTTCTTTAATTGTAACATTTAAACTCGAATAGGAAAAATGTAGCATTAAGTAAATAATAGTTCAGTTTAAATTTAGATTTTGGACAATGTTTAAATTAATTTCTTTTAAGTTACTTTGACACGTTTATAAAGATTCAAAAATTTAACAACACGCTTACATTTCAGGGATACATAGATATGTAATCAATATTTGATAAATTTATTATTAACTAAGTTGTATACATAAAACGAATGTTTCAAGTATATTTTTCATAAGAATGAACACATATCTTAACCTCCAGATCCAGACGTATCGCATGCAAACGTCGCTAGTAATGTCACAAACACAAGTAAACCTTGAAGAGACAATCATATACGTTAAAACCTTAAACAGACATTTAAATACGTCAATGTATGATATACTTATGGTAAAGAATTAGTTTTAGGCATTACAAAAACACCTTGGGATAATTATTCAATGTGATTATAATCATCTTCAAAGAAATAGTATTATCTAACGAAAGAGTAAGAAAAATACCTGTTAAACATTAAGAAACAATTCTTATGCCACTGTTTGACCTATTATTACCAAAATCTGAAAGGAGGGTGATCCCTCGGAAGTATTATTGGCAACAAAAGTACATGAAAAGTACAGACTCAGTTTGATAGAGGGATAATGAAAAAATGCATCATTTCTTACTTTCGTTAGAACCGGTTTGAGTGGTACTAAATATTCAAATTTAAAAGTGATGGAATCAATGATTCCGATGGACAAGAGAAATATAATAACACTGAAGTTGACCAAAAATATATGAGTGAATACAAATTCAAGTATTTGAATGACCTGTGCTCTCTCCTAACATTAATATCTTCCTGAAAGACCAACTTAATGTCTGTATTACCATTGTTCATCTAGGGCAAACGTTAAATTCGTAACAAATTATGCACGTACTGCTGATAACAGTTTATTATCAGCTTACATATTTACTATAGTGGGTCGTCTCTTCCATGAATATATTTAAGGGCCTAGTTCTTATAATACCAGAAAATCTGTTCACGTTATAAAGGACATGAAACATTTTGTCTTACAAAGTTCTTTAAAATAATGTTAGTATAAATAAAAATAATTACAAAATTACAAAGTAATAAAGACTTGAAGTGCCAAGCATGCATCTAATATTTACATGTAATACTCATGTTTCATAAATGGATTAACAGCTTATAAGATGTCTTGAAACTAAAGAATGTAGCAATGAACGTTCTGTTATGTGTAATATAGGTAGCAAAATGTTAACAAAATAGTATTTCCATACAAAATACTAATTCACTATAATTGTTTTTATAATATTATACCAATTGCCAAAAGATAAGAGGGGAACAGATAGTTCAACTATGTGGCAAAGTTTCTAAGTAATAAAAATCTTTGTATTTATGAGGCATATTGGATCTTACAGGAAGAACAATTAGATATTACTTACCTATATATATATTTCTTCTGTTGACTGGATGAGTTGAAATGTAAATTTAAGCAGTGGGCTTTCTTTTCAATTTCTTATCAAAATATAATTTCACTTTTTTCAATGACGAAACTACTTTTTTAAGATTTTCCCCATGTGGTACCTCAATTTTATTTTAACTGACAATTCTGACAATGTCAGGCTGTTAAAATAAATAGCAAAGCTGAAATAGATAAATAACTTAAATGTCAAAAGTAATAAAGAGAGAAAACTTACTTCTATTCATTCATATTCCAATCATCAAATTTCGTCCCTAAATTTTTTTGTTTCGTTTTTACAGTCTGAAAAATACATTCCTTCCCCATGCAAAACTGCTTTTGATGACATTTGGGCATATTAAAGTATCCTACGAGCAATAACTGCCGTATGCTTTATGAAAAATTGAAAAGCATTGACAGCCATCACTCGTAGAATAAGTAAAACAACCCAGCGACAGCGTTCCTTAGCAAGCTTCCAAGTTTTCCATTTTCATAGCTGCTTTTCTGAATGTTTTCACATCTGTCAACACTTATTTTTTGTCTGTTACAATCCTCAAATAAGATTTCTTTCTTTTAAAAAGGTGTATGACTAACAAATCCAAATAATATCCCTCTGAATCTTACATAATTATTTTCTACCCATGAAATACACAACTTTAAAAAATGGCTGCCGCTTACATTTTTCAAAGCCAGGTCGAATATAAATTCGCAGTAAGTAACAGAAATATGGATGGATGGTTGGACTTTTTCTCCTTCAAAAATTGTTTGTTTTTATTATTAAAACAAGCGATCATTCATATTTTTTCAAATAAAATGAATAAATATCACCGTCATTTAACCTTGATTGGCGGACTTATTTTTCAGCTCAAGACTTTTTGTTTTAATGTGAAATTCCGTCTAAATGGGGCTCTCAATGGGGGAAACAAATTTTAATATTAACGTTAAAATTATGGAAATTTCGTTTTAACTTGTTTTTAAGCATAAAATAAAAAGAAAAATTGTCTGTTTGTTGTGTAAGATGTAATTTTATTTCATCTCGTGAACTTTAAAAACAGTATTCTCACTCGTGCCACTCGTGAGAATACTGTTTTTAAAGCCCACTCGATGAAATGAAATTTCATCTTACACACAAACAAACAAATATCTTCTATATATTGCATAACATAAAATGTCACGTTGCTATTTCTATGCCAAATATCTCAATCATATACAAGATATAGAATGAGATATCAATAGATATAAATAATAAGAAAAAATCTAGACCTATATTGTTGAATTTTATTGATCAAAAACGTCTTTTTGATTCATTTCAGGAAATTATTGGTAATTGCAGTAGGTTTACTAGCGACGCACAAATCCAATTCAACAAGCCAGATTGGGTATTTTCCTTATAGCTGAAGATGTATCACCATATGTCAGAGGTTGTGATATAGATGCAAGGTATAGATTTGACCATTCTATCATAATTCTTAAAATTGATTTACTAAATATTGAACATGGGAAAGGTTTATGGAAATTAAATAATTCTTTATTATATAAAGTATCTCAGTTTGGTAATGAAACTTCTCTATAATTATAAGATGATTCAGAAGCTTCTTTGAATGTAACCTAAGATACATCCATACATTTTCTTAATATTCTGGACTTAATGTTAATTTAAAAAAACACATGTTATATGGATAGGCTTACACGAATACAGTACTAGATCCAATAACACAAAGTTGAAACTAAACTGGGGTGGCAGAATTTTAATTGCTCGGTATAAATTTTCATGTAAATTTAGACGGACTGATTGAATTTACACGAATTTAATTTTGGACGGATTCAGATAACTATAGTAGAAAGTTGAAATGACAGATTAAGCTTACTGTCGCGGACCGTTTATGTGACAGATTAAGCTTACTGTAGCGGGTCGTTTTTGTGACAGATTAAGTTAAATATAGCGGGACGTCTATGGGACATATACAGCTTACTATAGTGGAAAGTTTATGCGACAGATTAAGCTTACTGTAGCGGGCGTTAATGTGACAGATTTAGCTTGCTGTAGCGGCCATTTACGTGACAGATTTAGCTAACAGTAGCTTGCCGTGTATGTGACAAATTAAGCTTAATGTAGCTGGACATCTATGGGACGGATTCAGCTTACTGGGAATTTTACGTGACAGATTAAGCTTAATGTAGCTGGAGTTTATGTGACAGATTTTGCTTAATGTAGTGGGACGCTTATATGACGATTAAAGTTAAGTGTAGCGGAAGGTTTATATGATAGATAAAGCTTAGTGTAACTTATAGTTAATATGAATGAACAAGCTGGCTGTAGAAATGTATATGTGAGAAGTTAATCTTACCATAGCAGGAAGTTAATGTGACATATTAAAATAATCTGTAACGGGAAGTTTATTTGACGTATCAAGCTTATTGTAGCGGGTATATTACGTGACGGTTCAAGTTGACTGTATCAGACCGTCCAGACGGACAGTTTATATGACAGATTAAAGTTTTCTGTAACGTGGGAAGTTTATGTGACAGATAAAGCTTACTGTATCAGGCTTGCAGTTTATGTGACAGATTAAGCTTACAGTAGCGGTAAAGTAATGTGATGATTAAAGTTTACTGTAACGGGAAGTTTATTTGACAGATAAAGCTTACTGTATCAGGCTTGCAGTTTATGTGACAGATTAAGCTTACAGTAGCGGTAAAGTAATGTGATGATTAAAGTTAAATGTAACGGGAAGTTTATTTGACGGATAAAGTTTACTGTATCAGGCTTGCACTTTATGTGACAGATTAAGCTTACAGTAGCGGTAAAGTAATGTGATGATTAAAGTTTACTGTAACGGGAAGTTTATTTGACAGATAAAGCTTAATGTATCAGGATTGCAGTTTATGTGACAGGTAAAGCTAACTGTATCTGGCGGAACGCTTTTATGACATATAACGCTTTCTGTCTATGTGACAGATAAATTTAACTGTACCAGATTGGCAGTATATGTGATAGTTAAATCTTACTGTATCAGACGTGTAGATTGTGTGACAGATAAAGCTTACTGTATCAGGCGGGAACTCTACGTGGCAGATAAAGTTACATCTTGTAGACAGCTTTTGTGACTTATAACGCTTTCTGTACAAGGCGGGCGATCTTAGTGACAGATATATTTAACTGTTTCAGACGTACCAGATTGGCAGTTTATGTGACAGATGAAGCTTACTGTAACAGGCGGGCAGTTTATGTGACAGATGAAGCTTACTGTAACAGGCGGGCAGTTAATGAGACAGAAAAATCTTACTGTAACAGGCGGGCAGTATATATGACGGATAAAATTTACTGTTCACTGTGTCATTCAGAATTACAGTTTACATGATATTATTAATTTATGAAATAACAAATTTATGCACTTATAAATTGGTTGATTCATTTATAATATATGTTGGTTAATCTGCAAGAAAAAAAATGAAGATAATGACGAACTCAATATTTATGTTAACATTGTTATTTTCCAATGTTTACAGTAAAATATGAATACTACCATAAAAACAACAGAATATGAAAGAAAGTTGCAGAGAGGAAGTATACAGTATACCTGAAAATAACAAAATATATAGTTAATTTAGAATATAATTTCAAACTATAAATGAAAAGAAGGTGATATAGACTCAACTTAGATACAAGCAAACAATTGAAAATACAAATGTCTTATACTTTTATCAGTACAGATACTAAACCTTACAGAATGGAATCGTTTTTTTTTTCGTGCCATGTCGGCATTCTACGTAACTTATAGGCACATCCGCTACCTCTCACCAGTTTCCGTAAACATATCTATTTTTTATTTCTAAATGAATAAATTATCCATACTCCTATATACAGCATAAATAGAATTTTTAGTTTTTGATAAAATGAAAATGAAATAAATGTCTTTGAAAATGTGAAATTAAATAAGTTATATAGAGCACTTTGATAAAATATAAAGATTGACCAGGTTCCTAAATATACCAATTACAGGTATCTTACCTTAAATAATCATTAAGTTTAGCTTTATACTTGCTCTTAATGCTTATATTCATTACTACATTACGAACTATTGATTTGGTCGAGAAGATTTTTGAATAACTCTAATTGATAATAACAAATTTCAAGATTGCTCCTCGATTGTTTGAAAAATCGAGAAACTAACATTTAACAAAAACAAAAAATGAAATAAACATTTTGCTATTATGTTTTTAGCATTTACGAGCAAATTTAAAAATATTTATATGATATATATACAGTTATAAGATTGATTTTGCAATAATAAAATATTTCAAAATCCTGAGGCAAGACACGCCTAGGGAATGTGTACTTCGTTAACACACCTATGGAATGTGTACTTCTTTAACACACCTATGGAATGTGTACTTCTTTAACAGCGGTTCCTGCAGCGTTGCTTGCCTTACAATACCAGCGACCAGTGTGATCGACAGGGACGTACTTATTTACAAACAGTGTCGACTGATAAGTCTCATACAGGGCTTGGACATCGTGCGGTAGACCATGGTTGTTATTCTATGAAGAGAAATGTTTTAAATTAACTGATTTTTTGATAATTTTCATATTTTGTGAGTGCAGTTGTCTATATCAATGATAAAATGATAAAATAAACACAACAGTTCTATAGGTATTATGTGAGGTGTATGTATCTTGTAGCAAGCTATAATAGTAAACTAGCACGTGAGGTGTATGTATCTTGTAGCTAGCTATAATTGACTGTTATGTGAGGTTTGTGTATCTTGTAGCTAGCTATGTTGAACTAGCACGTGAGGTGTTTGTAACTTGTAGCTAGCTATGTTGAACTAGCACATAATGTGTATGCATCTTGTACCTAGCTGTAATTAACTAGCATGTAAGGTGTATGTATCTTGTAGCTATAGCTATAACTAATCAGTACGTGAGGTATATGTGTCATTTAGCTAGCTATAATTAAAAAGCATGTGCGGCGAATGTATCTTGTAGCTAGCTATAATTAATGAGCACGTGGGGTGTATGTATCTTGTAGTTATAATTAACTAGTACGTGAAGTGTGTGTATCTTGTAGCTATAATTATGATTTTCTAGTATGTTAGGTATATATATCATGTAGTTAAAACTTTAATTACGTAGCATGTGAGTTGTATGTAAAATAATAAGCAAAGAAGAATATGAGATTAATATTATGTCGTTTCATGATGACCATAAATAATGAAGAAGAAAAAAGCATTTTTAGAGGCATGTTAATCAAAAAGTGGGATGATTCTGTACATATATTTTTAATCATAATTCTCATTAACCATAAAAAGTTCAAATTATGTTTACTAATTTAAGTTTTCTTTCTTTGCCTAGTATGTTAGACATGTAGAAACTAACTAATGGAACTATCTTTGAGATGGCTACCTAACAAAAGTAGCATTTTTTACCCATATTTAAAAATAGACCTACTAATTATTCAAATGTTTATATATTTTTTTTATTTATATACAATAAGTGTTTTTCTTCAACTGCAGCAGAATCTGCAGCAAATAGAATTACATTCTGTTAAATAATATTTTCCATAAGAAACAACAAAACAAAATGCACGTGAAAAATTATGTTGAACCAGCAACATCAAAATTTAAACAAAACTTTTGAAATGATTCAATATTTTACATGAAGTTTCATTCAAGCGCAAACATCTTAAGCTTAAAGATAACATACAAGCATGGTCTGGTCTGACAAATACACACTAGCGATAGTTACACTGAAATTATGTAAAATCAGAAATTTTCGCTGATGTGTTAAATTTTGCTTATTTCGAGAACTGAAGATTGTTTTACACTGTGGCAGGCTTCGGACAAAAACTATTGTTTTAGCTGAAGGCGATGCTGTGCACATCTCCAGTTACGGTTATAGATGTTGTCTATTCGACTAATGTGACCATTGTTAGTGTCCGAAATCATACAGAATAATACAGAATCATACAACTTAAACAGAATAATTCATTATCATACAACTTAAACAGAATAATACAGAATCATACAACTTAAACAGAATAATACAGAATCATACAACTTAAACTATGTAAAATTAACACCGGAATGGAAATGTTGATTTTTCTCAAAGCAATCTGACTTTAAAGCAAAGCAAAAACAATGTCTGACATATTAGGCTCATATATTGAGTAATCTTGAAAAGAGAAAGCAAAATTGACTAAGCATGACCTATCATGTAATTCTCTGTTTATTAAAGTTGAAACGGGCATGTTTATTTCACTTTAATATTGATTCCTCTAAAAATAAATCTGACTCCATAGCAAAGCAAAAAATAATGGCCGAGGAAACATATGAATCTCATATAGAGTACATGTATCTTGAAAAAGAGAAAGCGAAAATTGACTAAGCATGAGTCATCATGTCACATGACCTATCATGTAATTCTCTGATGATATAATCTGAAATGGAAATACTGATTTTGCTAAAATTAAGCCTCTCAAAAAACTGACTTTATAGCAAAGCAAAAAATAATGTCTGAGGAAACACATCAAGCTCACATCAAGCTCATATAGAATTGAAAGAGATAAAGCAAAAATTGACTAAGCATGAGTCATCATGTCACATGACCCATCATGTCACATGACCCATCATGTCACATGCCCCATCATGTCACACTCTGTTTGAGAGAATATACAACAACTGAAGCTGGCTTAATCCTAGGCTTACCTGTTGTGCATGTGACGTCTGTAATTGAGAAGTTGCTTTTTTATAAGTTTTCAAGTATACCATTTATCTTTGTACAGAAAATCTCTAGAAATAAGTAACATTTAAAACAAGTGCTTAAATGTGCTTCAACGTGCACAAACGGATAATTTCTACGCGGAAAACGCTGCCTGTAGCGCTCTTATATACCATGAAATTGTATGACTTGTATAAGTTAAATAGAAATCACTTTAAAACCAATAAAAAATAATTTATAATAATGGCTAAGCCAAACAAGTTTGAGAAAATTCCATAGTTAGCAGGGCGCCGCCATATTGAAAATCTTTAACTGGTTCTAACTTTGAGCTATATTTAGATTACATGACGCTTTTGAAAAACCATTTATCAAAAGCGTCTACACAATTCAGACTGTTGCTAGAAGACGCCACAAGTCTTCTAATCTAAGTTACACTTCCGGTAGGTGATGATGTAGAGAATCAGTAAATTAGTGTTATTCATATAAATATTGAAAAGAACTAAAGTAACGATGACAAACATAAAAATACTTTTATATACTATTAGCCATTCTGATATACAGAATAACATGACAGCAACAACTCTTGTTTAGAGAGTAACAAAATGGCGGGAAAAATATAAGCATGCTATAATACTAACCGCTTCCGGAATAAAGTCCCATTGTATGTTTGGAGCAGGATATCCAGTTACTTGACATTGCATAGCAAAACTTGAAGATACAGGTGGTTTAATTATGTTGACAACGGGCTTCTCTACGAGGAAAAATCAGAAAAAAACATTCAGAATATAATCAGTCCAATCTTTTATGTTAATCTCGTAACATTAATAAAGCTATGTTTACTAGACATACATGTATAACTTAAAGGAGATAAGGACTATAGAGGAGTGTGTGTTAAAAAATGAAAAATGAAAAAAAAACAAGATAAAAAAGTACGTCTTACAAACAGATAGTGTGTGTAACAAAAAGAATTATAAAGCGTGTCTCACAAAATGAAGAACAAGCTATATAAAGTGTGTCTCACAATAAAGACAAAGATTCAGTGTATTTAACAAATAGAAGAATAAGACTATAAAATGCATCTCATAGAAAGGAAAACGATATATGTAGAAAGTGTATTTAACACAAAGTGAAAATCAATGCTATAATTGTTAATTGTGTTTTACAAAAAAAAAAATGAAAAGAAAAAAAGAATTAGATGATAAAGACTCGCAAAAAGAAAACAAGACGATTATTTTAAAGCTGCAGGCCTCGAGATGAGCCAAAATATTTCAAAAAGTTGAACTTGGGAAAAATGTACTAAGAGTTTTTAAGAAAAGTAGAAATATTAAAGATTCAAGTGATAATTTATATATTGTGTGCAATTTAGGACTGATTTTTGCAATATTTATAACCATTTTTCTACTGCGTTACTAACGCAGTTGGGGCTATTTTCGCATTTTTGATCTCCTTTTTGGTAATTTACGTGGATTATAAGTGCCGATTGCAATGTGTCAATTACTTTTTTTGTTCACTTTAAAATAGTTTACTTTTAAATACATTTTCAAAATTTTCATGAAAATTAGGATGAATCTGGAGGTGTGCTGCTTTAAAGTTGAATTGTGGATGGCTCTTTGAAGTTATAATTAACAGTATGTATATCATTTGTTTTTAGTTGTAAAGTACCTGCAAGTATTCCAATAAAATGAGATTGTTCTGTTGTATATCCGCTGACTGTTGCAGCACAAGTGTACGTTCCAAATGTTGACTCTGTCAAGTTTTTAATATGTAGAATATCTATACCTGACCCACCTCCCGTTTGTCCAGATATAAGCTGCTCGGTTACACCGGCCGGTAGGGACGATGTCTGTAATACATGTAATATTCAAAGTATATAGACTTAATTTCAACTGTATTTCTCCAGCATTCACAAGTTTAGTCATATTTTAACTCAGTAATAATCCTCTCTCGACCTGTGATAGTGAAAGTAAAATATATTATATACTTATAAAAGAAATATTGAGAAATATTAGTTATTTAAATGAAATAAAATGCGTATTTTCATCGTATTTTCACTGTAAAAAAATATGTTTCACTGTTTTTCGTATTTTCCCTATTGTCTTGCCGGACTGCTTTCTTCCAAATTCAGCCAATACACAAAATGTTAAACGGGTGGTCTTTCAAATTGTTGTGTCAAAAAAAGAAGTATGTATTTAATCAACAGAAAATTCAAGTTTTTTTTCTCTTAAACACAGGACTTTTCTTCATCTTGTGGTATGAAAATTATTATATTTCACTCGTATCTACCGCCACTCATGAAATATATATTTTCATACCACTCGATGAAAATAAATCCTAAATCAAAAGAAAAAAATACCCTCTATATAAATCAGCCTCAATTTATTTCATTTGTCCACCCCACTATCATTCATTCATTCATTCATTCATTCATTCATTCATTCATTCATTCATGCATGCATGCATGCTGCATCCATACATACATACATACATACATACATACATACATACATACATACATACATACATACCATACATACCATACATACATACATACATACATACATACATTCATTCATTCATTCATTCATTCAATCAATCAATCAACCATTCATTGCAATTTAGGATTTACTCATAAAGGCTGATGACGGAATTATCTGTAATTGTAAACATATAATTTCCTAACTAGATGTGCTGATAATATATTCAACGGCTACAAAACATGTAGACTATTACTAGAATTTTGGATCTTCTTATCTGTGCTAAAATCTAAATAATTTTTTTTCAGGTTTGATTTTATTGAAATATGTTTTGTTCATCTTGAGGTGTGCAGCTTTAACTCATAAACTAGCTTACCCCGTTAAATTTCCATGTATACGTGTCAGCAACTGGGTTTGTGACGCAGGCGATTTGTGTTTCTTTCAGGAAGTGATCTTTATCCGGTCCATTAATTTGCACAGATAGTGGAGGCAGTGTTGTTGTTGTTGTCGTCGTCGTTGTTGTTGTTGTCGTTGCTGCAGCTGTTGTTGGTTTCGTTGGCGAATGCACATGCGTGGGAGAGACTCCCGCTATAAATAAAAACACTGGTTCAATATCTAAATATTTTAACATGATATGCTTTCATGGACAAAAGCAAGTGTTACCCGTTTTAATTAAAAATAGGGGTGTTTGAGAGGAACTCATATTTATTTGAATTTTTTGATGTCTTTATATTCAGTAACATGTTCTATTCACGTATGTTTATTCTATATTATTATTGTTAGTAAGTAATTAAGGAAGTAAGTTAGTAAGTAATGTAAAGTAAAGTAAAATAAAGTAAAGTAAAATGAAGTGAAGTGAAGTGAAGTGAAGAGAAGTGAAGTGAAGTGAAGTGAAGAGAAGTGAAGTGAAGTAAAGAGAAATGAAGTGAAGTGAAGTAAAGAGAAATGAAGTGAAGTGAAGTAAAGAGAAGTGAAGTGAAGTGAAGTAAAGAGAAGTGAAGTGAAGTAAAGAGAAGTGAAGTGAAGTGAAGTAAAGAGAAATGAAGTAAAAAAAAAAAACAAAGAAAAGTTAAGTAACGTAAAGTAAAGTTACTAAATATTATAAGAGTGACATTGTGTTATGTGAATTATAACTGTTGATTGAAATAAATAAAAGAAATCATACAAACCTAAAAAAGCCAAAAAATGGAAAAAAAAACAACAACTGATACATACGATTCCAATTGTCACATGCAGCATAATTACAGAGGTCAGTGTGATCACAACAAACAACACATGAAGATTGGAACGCATTTTTCAAAGCTGTGCATTGCTGAAGACATTAAAACATCAAAACTCAAAATGAACGCCCGTATTATAATGGTGGGCTCGAGCCTAATTAGTATAATTTGACTTAAAGTATACAATTTCGCCTGAGATTCTTATTGGGTTAAAGAGACATGAACTTTACTGTAACTTAATATAGTCTTCTAATATGTTAGAAAGGTCAATATAACGTAAGGAGACAAATATAAATATAATTACCTAATCAGTAAATCTCAATGACACAATAATATAATGTTTCATCGTTACCTCCCTTTCTTACCATTTACTAACTAATTCTACATGAATTTCATCACATGAACATACTAATATAACATTAACAACGTAAGCAAACAAATATTACCTGTCAAATACTTTCTCGTTCCAGGACTGATGTAACCGCGTTACTAGTCGTTACCACGTTACCTGACTAACTTAACCACGTTACCAGACTTCCTTGACCACGTTACCAGACTAACTCAACCACGTTACCAGATAAACTTAGCCACGTTTGCGGACTAACTTAACCACGTTACCAGACTTCCTTGACCACGTTACCAGACTAACTCAACCACGTTACCAGATAAACTTAGCCACGTACCGGACTAACTTAATCAAGTCAACTGACTATTCAACAACGTTACCAGACTAACTTAACCGCGTTATCAGACTAACTTAACCATTTACCAGGCTAACTCAACCACGTTACATGACTTACTTAACCAAATCAGGCTAACGTAACAATGTTACCGGACCTACTTAACCACGTTACCAGTCTTATTAAATTTCGTTACCGGACTAACTTAACCACGTTACCAGTTTAACTTAACCATGTTACCTGACTTACTTAACCACGTAACATGACTAACTTAACCACGTTACCGGAATATCTTAGCCACGTTACCAAACTTACTAAACCACGTTACATGACTAACTTAATCACGTTAGCAGACTGACTTAGCCATGTTACCGGACTAACTTAACCACGTTACCAGTCTTACTTAACCACTTTACCGGACTTACTTAACCACGTTACATGACTAATTTAACCACGTTACCGGAATAACTTAGCCACGTTACCAAACTTACTAAACCACGTTACATAACTAACTTAATCACGTTAGCAGACTGACTTAGCCACGTTACTAGACAAACAAAAGCACGTTACCGGACTCACTGAATCGCGTTACCAGCCTTACTGAATCACGTTACCAGACTTACTTAACCACGTTACATGACTAACCTAACTACATAACCGGACATACTTAGCCACTTATCCAGACTAATTTAACCACGTGACAAGACTAACCGGACTAATTTTACCACGTTACCAGACTAACTTAACCACATCACCAGACGTACTGACTAATTCAACTATGTTACCAGACTAACTTAACTGCATTACTAGTCTAACTTAGCCACGTTACAAGACTAACTTAACCACGTTTCCAGACAAGGTATTCTTTTATTTCACAAATATATCTTTAAAGTGACTCCACTGAGGTGAGGTTTTTGACATAACTTACACTTATACGTGTAGTATATTTTATTGTCTTTTGCATATCATTGTGTCCTAAGCGCTCCAATTGATCTCGGTAAGAAATTAAAAGTTTATGTTTTCGGTTTTTGAACCTCCGTTGAGTCCCTTTAATGTTTTAGATAATATTCATAATCGTTTTTGAACCTCGGTGGAGTCCCTTTAATGTTTAAGTTAAGATTCATCTTTTTTATATTATACATACCAATTTACCCATGCAGCCTAAATCATAACGAATGCTGTAACTGGCGGTGTTTGGGTTGAGTCCCTTGTGCACATAACAAAACTAAAATAAAACAAACTAAAATTATAACACGTAATATGAAATAACAATGATTTATTACATACTTGAAAAATTATGAAAATTGATGAAAGAAAATGCATATTTTCATTTCTGTATTTTCACTGTAAACAATTTATTTTTCACTGCATATTTTCGGTTTATTTACTGATGTCTTGAGAAGTTGCACCACTTTGAAATCAGTTTTGATGGAAAAACAACGGAAAATAGTGATTTTTGGCAGTTTTGAGACGTTCCCCCGTTGCCTTGGTAACAGGAAATTTAAGATTGAGCATGCTGGTACAAAGGCTATATACATGTATATATATATGGTCCAGTCAACATTTGTGCCAGTTTGATCAGTATTCAACAATCCAACAAATTACAACGCATTCAAAGTTTAAAAGTAGCATTGGCTTAAAGAATTGTCAAAAAATGCACAATCACATATTACGCGGATGAATATGATTTTAATCAATGAAAGTGTTATTTTTAGCGATGTCGATTACCGAATACTACACAAATAAATCTGACTTATATACATTCTTCATGTCAGACCGTTTTGGCGAGAAGATTTTCGCTAAATTATTTACATCAATTTTAAACAACAGGTTTATCGTGAACAAAATACCTCGAAATTAATAAGGATTACAGATCCGAAATGCAATAGAAATTCTAAAATTAGAATTACTTGATTTTATTCAGAGCTGTTCGTATAACTTCTCCGTGGTGAAGGGGTAACGCGCTCGCGTAGTGTGTGAGAGGTCTGGGGTTCAAATCCCATCGAGGATTTTTTTATGTGCCTTTGTTAAGGAAGTATGCAAGGATAAAGTGTGGCTGTCATAAAAAATGAACATAAATGACTTTTTGATCCAACTCTAGTTATGCAAAATTCCGTATGTATCAAACTTTGGTGCCAGCAAGATGAATTACAGTGCATAACAATAGACTTATACAGTAAAATACATACAGATATACAGTGCGATTTAGATTGCAAAGATCAGAAAGTTCCACAGAGCTTGCAGCCCTTTGATTTTATAGTTTCATAACAGTTTGAACTTGTAACAGGAGGCTTTCAATGAAAACAGTCATTTTGCGAAGTAATGGGTTAATATATAGCACGTTAAGCTCTGCACGTTCTAAATATTTCTAAATATAGCTCTGCTCGTTCTAAATATAGCTCTTCTCGTTCTTAATATAGCTCTGCTCGCTCTGCTCGTTCTAGATATAGTTCCGCTCATTCTACATATAGCTCTTTACGTTCTCAATATAGCTCTGCACGTTCTAAATATAGCTCTGCTCGCTCAATCTAAATATAGCTCTGCACGTTCTAAATATAGCTCTGCTCGTTCAGTATATAGCTCTGCATGTTCTACCTACCTGATCTCTACCACATTCTGTCACACTTTCGCAATCTTTCGGATCATCTTTATCTAAACAAGACAGACACCGTAGATTCGTTGATGGCGCTGCAATATAATTATTGGAAATTTGGAATGGAAAAACACAATTATGTATTATTTTGAATGTCATATATAATTTGCAATAAAGAAAACATCACTTTATTATATTATTAACAACTTAATAATAGCAATAATGATAAAGATTATAATAATAATAATAATAATAATAATAATAGATATAATATTAGTTATAAAGATCGTTGACAGGTTATATGGCCCTATATAAACGGCTATTTGTAAATATAACCCGAGCCGTTAGGCGAGGGTTATATTGCAAATAGCCATTTATATACGGCCATATAACCTGTCAACAATCTTTATAACGAATTTATAATACAGCAAGCATCATTTTTAGAGAAAAAAAGGTAAGATTTCCTTATGAATCGACAGCAGCCGTGTATATAAAACTATATAAACGTCACGATTATCCAATGAAAAATGACGTTACAAACGTGCAGTATTATAATAATTATAATAATGACGATGATAACAATAATAATAATGATAATGATAATAAAAATAATAATAATAATAAATAATAATAATATAATAATAATAATAATAATAATGATAATAATAATAATAATAATAATAATAATTATAGTAATAATAAAAATAACAAGGATATTAATAATAATAGTAATAAAAAATAAAAATAATAATTATAACTATAATAATAATAATAATAATAATAATAATAATAATAATAATAATTATAGTAATAATAAAAATAACAAGGATATTAATAATAATAGTAATAAAAATAATAATAATAATAATTATAACTATAATAATGATAAAAACAATAATAATAATTAATAATAATAATTATAGTAATAATAAAAATAATAAGGATATCAACATTGATTACAATCAAAAAGGTTAACATTAGGTTATATGTTTGAAAAAAGGTATGATAGTCACTATTGATATATTATTTCATGTCAAAGATTGTGATTATATTTGATGTTTCATAGCTAAAAATAATTATTGTCTTACTTTTCACTTTCTTATTAAAAGGACATGATATACCTTTTTTCAAAAGAATTGTTCCATTTGGTGTAGGTCAAGACCAATTACTTGTTTGCAAAATTTCAGATAATTTGCAACGCTTTTTACCGGAATTGGGCTAAGGATTGGTACAAAAATACGATTTTCAATTTATATCTGAGTATAATTCAATTTTCATGTGTCCTCAGTTGAGTTCGTATTGTGAAGGTCATATAATTTTATCACCTGATATTTGAAGTAACTCATACTTTTTATGAAGTATTGTGTCAGTTATAAAACTCAACAGATTCGAATATGATCACCGAAAACAAAACATAATTAAGATGTTTAAATGTTCTTACGGGAGCCACAGAGGTCCTTGTTGCATTCATCTCCGGAATCACAACACTGGGTACAAAGATTCATATCACCATTTGAATCACGTGTATTTTTATCACGTGACTGAATAGCACGCGATTCCACCGGAAGCGAGAAGCTACTGGACGTATCTCTTTTACCCATAGCAAACATTGAAGCTTGTTGTCCAAGACACACCTGTGAATGATAAATAAAGAGATGTGTACACATATACCTAAAATTGACTTTTGAATGACAAAAATGAAGTGATATAGACACATACATCTAAAATTGACTTTTGAATGATAAATAAGAAGTGATAAAGACACATATACCTAAAATTGACTTTTGAATGATAAATAAGAAGTGATATAGACACATATACCTAAACTTGGCTTTTGAATGATAAATAGAAAGTGATATAGACACATATATCTAAAAATAGACTTTTGAATGATAAATAGGAAGTGATATAGATACATATATCTAAAAATAGACTTTTGAATGATAAAAAGAAGGTGACATAGACACATATATCTAAAAATAGACCTGTAAATGATAAATAAATAGTCAGATATGCACAAACACCTAAAAAGACTTTTGAATGATAAATAGATAGTGATATACACACATATATCTAAAAATAGACCTGTAAATGATAAATAAATAGTCAGATATGCACAAACACCTAAAACGACTTTTGTATGATAAATAGATAGTGACATAGACACATATATCTAAAAATAGACCTGTAAATGATAAATAGTCAGATATACACATACACCTAAAAAGACTTTTGAATGATAAATAGAAAAGTAATATAATATCATATATATCTAAAATAGACTTGTAAATGATAAATAAATAGTCAGATATGCACATACACATAAAAGAGACTTTTGAATGATAAATAGAAAGTGAAACACACATATATATATATATATATATATATCTAAAAATAGAAGTGTAAATGATAAATAAATAGTAAGATATACACCTAAAAGAGACTTTTGAATGATAAATAGAAAGTGATATATTCACATATATATGTAAAAATAGACTTGTAAATGATAAATAAATAGTCAGATATGCACATACACCTAAAAGAGGCTTTTGAATGATAAATAGAAAGTGATACACACATATATATATATCTAAAAATAGACTTGTAAATGATAAATAAATAGTCAGATATACACATACACCTAAATGATAAATAGATAGTGATATACACACATATATCTAAAAATAGACCTGTAAATGATAAATAAATAGTCAGATATGCACAAACACCTAAAACGACTTTTGTATGATAAATAGATAGTGACATAGACACATATATCTAAAAATAGACCTGTAAATGATAAATAGTCAGATATACACATACACCTAAAAAGACTTTTGAATGATAAATAGAAAAGTAATATAATATCATATATATCTAAAATAGACTTGTAAATGATAAATAAATAGTCAGATATGCACATACACATAAAAGAGACTTTTGAATGATAAATAGAAAGTGAAACACACATATATATATATCTAAAAATAGACTCGTAAATGATAAATAAATAGTCAGATATACACATACACCAAAATACATGTAAAGACTTTTGAATTATAAATAGAAAGTGATATGGACACATATATCTAAAATAGACTTGTAAATGATAAATAGAGTGATATACACATATACCTAAATATAGACTTTTGAATGATAAATAGAGAGAAATATACATATACAATACAGTTCTATGTACACTAAATAGAAATATATGTCCGCATATTGTTAACATATACCTTGAACACTAATAGGTTTATGTGGTTAACAGTACAGTAACAGAATTTACCTTGTGTTAATTATACTTATCAACATGGCATATTTCAATTAACGATCCAGTTTATGATAGGGTAAAGAAATTAAGAAATTGGCAGAAGTTGACAATTTTAACAATCATGTCAGCAAAATGATGCCAGATTGTATATTTTATAATCGCTGTCTCTTCATACATGACAAATACTGTTTAGTTTCAAGATGCAGAGGTGAAACTTTGTTTACAACATAGGATGTGAATAAAATTAAGTTATAAACTTCCTATAAATGATTTTATGTATCTTACATTTCTATCAATGCAGCCAAGCACGTAATATTGTTTCAAGTTCGTTCCGATTTTACGCTGCACGTAGCAAATCTGTAAAATAAAATCATTATGTAAACGAACACACTAAGATAAATGTTTCCATTTTGTTTTTTAAACACGTTGTTTACTGTCCTTATTATATCAATGAAGGACTTAGTCTGATGTCCCCATTATGAAATACATATCTTCGTTTACTGTCCATATTGTTTCAATGAAGCTATCCGTTTACTGTCCTCATTTTTTTCCAATGAAGGACTTAGTCTTAATTTCTTATGTTCTTATTAAGTAATAAGGCTCTCAGTCGGTTTACTGTCCTGATTATGTCAATGAAGCACTCCTTTTACTGTCCTCATTATGTCAATGTAAGACTTAGTCTGATGTCCCCATTATGTAATAAAGCACTTCGTTTACTGTCCTCATAATGTGAGTGAAACAAGCAGGATACTGTCCTGACTATGTCAATGAAAGACTTAGTCTAATGTCCACATTATGTAATAAAGCTCTTCGTTTACTGTCCTCATAATGTCAGTGAAACACGCATGCTACTGTCCTGATTATGTGAATGAAAGACTTAGTCTAATGTCCCAATTATGTAATAAAGCTCTTCGTTTACTATCCTCATAATGTCAGTGAAACACGCAGGTTACTTTCCTGATTATTTCAATGAAAAGACTTAGTCTGATGTCCCCATTATGTAATAAAGCTCTTCGTTTACTGTCCTCATAATGTCAGTGAAACACGCAGATTACTGTCCTGATTATTTCAATGAAAGATTCAGTCTGATGTCCCCATTATGTATTAAATCTCTTCGTTTACTATCCTCATTTTGTGAAAAATGAAACACGTAACTTACTGTCCTCGTGTCAATGAAGGACTTAGTCTGCTTCGCCCATTATGTCAATAAAACACTCCGTTTACTGCCCTCATTATGTTTGTGAAACACGCAGGTTAACGTCCTTATCATGTCCATGAAACACTCAATGTATTGTATGAATAACAGATAAAGGTAATGCCGCGAATATTTGAATGAAAATACAAACAAGACTAGTGTGCCCGACAGGACAGAACATTTGAAACTTAGATTCAAAACACATCGCACGATTACAAGTCTAACGCAGTCCAAATACACAGCTTATATTTACTGTTCTTGTTCATTTTCAAACAATGAACCTGAACTAGGTTTAATTAACAAAAATGAATTATAGTATTAATTCATATGTGACTTTGCTATATTTTAATAAAATAAACCAAGTGAATAATGTCTTGAGATTTTGGAACAGCTGAATCAGCATACTTCGTGAGAACCGCACGTTGCAAGTCGTTGGCAATCACGTGCCTCCACCACGTTGTCACATGACAGACACTGTAAAGCCTCGCTCGTGGTAATCAGCAACACCAATACAAGAATACTGGACGTAATTACTGAAAATAAAAACCGTTATAAAAATAAATCAATATTTAAATCATGTCACGTACACACACGGTTATTGACCAAATTTGTAAATAAATACATGGGCGTATTGTCCAACAATGTTGACCTGACACTCTTTTATTTGACCCTATAATCGGTAAGTTCCGGAAAGGTTACCATCTACTTGATACGAATCAATATAACCATTTGTTAAATAGACTTAATTTAGATCCCTCCAAGCACAGTCGGTTTTTCACTAAAAGAGTATAGACGTAAACTCGTAGGTTCGAATCCTGGTACAGCCAATTTTATTTCTCAAACAATATACATGTATGTATCTTCATAACGTGGTTTTTGTTAGGAATCGAACCAGAGACCTTCAGATCGGTAGCTCGGCATCTATACCAATACACCACAGCTCACAGACTTATGAAGTTAACAAAAATATCGATATATTCGTTTTTTTCTCAATGACCTTTACGAAAGTTTATGAAGTGCGAGGTCAATTTTGTTGGACAATGGTTTCCGCCTTTTTATCTTCGTCATTAATTACATAATAAAGATTATACAAAACATTGACGTAACTTCCGTAAAGACAGTAACGAACGTAAATGTTACAATGAAAAAAAAACGATTAACCATAAAAAAATCTATGTTTCATTCTAATTATCATATTGTCATATCAATCATATAAATAATTTCGGATGTTTCGAGATTCTACAAAACGACTTACAATTGTCCATAGCACAAGTTCCGTTGTTCTTAAATTTCAGCAGAATATTAACTTGTTTATCAAGCACGACCTATTAGAATATAGATCGCGTGTTATCTCAACTATTGTATAAGGTCAAGATCTTATCAGTTCTTCACTAAGATTACACATTTAATTTCACTGTCTTAACTTAATTTACTTAAATAAGTTGAATACGAACATCAGAAACGGAGGCATAAATAATTTAACCTAAAATCCTGCTGGTAGCTTTACAAAACAGCTTGGTACCAGGCAAGAATCCGAGTAATTCAGCCAAACAGCTCGGTACCAGGCAAGACAACGAGCTACTTAGCCAAACAACTTGATACCAGGCAAGACACTGAGTTACTCAATAAAATAGCTTGGAACCACGCAAGACACCGACCAACCAAGCCAGATAGCTTTGTACCAAGAAACCGAGTAGCTCATCCAAATAGCTTGGTACCAGGCAGGAAACCGCGTAACTCATCAAAATAGCTTGGTACCAGACAGGTAACCGCGTAACTCATCAAAATAGCTTGGTACCAGGCAGGTAACCGCGTAACTCATCCAAATAGCTTGGTACCAGACAGGTAACCGCGTAACTCATCAAAATAGCTTCGGTACCAGGCAGGTAACCGAGTAACTCATCCAAATAGCTTGGTACCAGGCAGGTAACGCGTAACTCATCCAAATAGGTTGGTACCAGGCAGGAAACCGAGTTACTCATCCAAATAGCTTGGTACCAGACAGGTAACCGCGTAACTCATCCAAATAGCTTGGTACCAGGCAGGAAACCGAGTTACTCATCCAAATAGCTTGGAACCAGGCAGGAAACCGAGTTACTCATCCAAATAGCTTGGTACCAGGCAGGTAACCGAGTAACTCATCCAAATAGCTTTGTACCAGGCAGGAAACCAGGTTACTCAGTCAAAAAGCTTAGTACTAATTCAGACACTGAGTAGCCAGGCACGTGATCTGTGGTCGAAAGATGAATGTGCAAATGATTTTTTAACAGTACATGTTGCTTTTCTTTAGTTTTTTTCTTTTTTTTTTCTTTTTTGTTTCTTTTTTGTGCACAAGCATTTATTTTTATCGAAATAAAAGACTTCCCTGAGGACTGTTAAGGAAATGGTGATTTTTTTTAAATACGCTGATCATTTTAAAAACACTTGGTATTCAATCGAAAATCCACATTGTTGTATATTGAATAATGTACGGTGTCCCGTTAGGGCCATAGCGACACACACATAACTCGAAACAACGGAGAAAAAAAAAATACGATGTTGATAAGTCAAAATAACGAAACCACGATGATGAAAAGTCGAAGATATGACGATGGAAAGTCAAAAGTACGATGGTGAAAAGTCCGGGGAATAAAACTGAAACATAAATGAGCCGCGTCACGACAAAACCAACATAGTGCGTTTGCGATCAGCATGGATCCAGACCAGCCTGCGCATCTGCGCAGCCTGATCAGGATCCATGCTGTTCGCTTACCAACTCAATTACAAGAAGGGAAACTGAAAGCGAACAGCATGGATCCTTATCAGACTGCGCGGATGCGCGGGCTGGTCTGGATCCATGCTGGTCGCAAACGCACTATGTTGGTTTTGTCGTGACGCGGCTCAAATGTTATTGTTTGCTTGGTAATCGGATGAACATTCAAGTTATACCTTTTGTTTCTCGTTTAGAGTACACGTGCACTTAGTCACAAAGTCACATACATCTGCGCATATTTGTAATTTTAAATTTCACTATCTTCATTTATATCTGTTGAATTCTGCTGAACTTAAGTTGGTGTGGACGATGTGTAGATAATATTTATTTGTTTTGAGTGAATGCATAGGCAATACGTGCCTACAAACCGAGACGTAGCATTTACACAATGTGAGAATTTAATATACATATGAATATGGAAACCAGGTTATTTCTCATGCTTATGTGAAATATAAATTAAATTTACAAAAAAAACCTCAAAGAATGTTCCCTTTTTTTAATAAGAAATAAATAAAGATCATATAGATCTATATTTGATATACCTCTTCTAGTTTCCTCCGATTTCGTTTTGACTCAAAAACAAGACAATATCCGGTGTACGGTACCACACCGTGATTACCCCCAAAACTTTGTGGGTATAATTAATAAATATATCACAAGATTCTATGAAAAAATGCAAAAAGTTGGGTAGTGTTTAATTGGTTTGTTCTAAACATATTTATTTAACAAGTTCTTGCACCTTATATAAATCACTTTCGAGTCCGCTTCCTGAAAACCATCCAGTACTGGTGTCATATGAAGAAACTTGGTCGCTACCCGATAGGGCTCGAACCAATATTACCTGACTTGAGAGGCAGATACCACCGCTCACATTTGAGCCGCGTTACGAAAAAACCAACATAATGGGTTTGCGACCAGCATGGATCCAGACCAGCCTGCGCATCCGCGCAGTCTGATCAGGATCCATGCCGTTCGCTATCAGTTTCTCTACTTGTAATAGGGTTGTATTGATATTAATTAGGGTTGTAAGCGAACAGCATGGGTCCTGATCAGACTGCACGGATGCGCAGGCTGGTCTGGATCCATGCTGGTCGCAAACCCATTATGTTGGTTTTGTCGTGACGTGGCTCATTTATAAGACTTTTAACCATTGTAAGCAAATATAGTTTAGCCACCGGTGTTGTGTAAGAATAAATAAGAATTAATAACGCAGATTTAATCCATGGATTGGAAAATAAGTCGACTTAATCAACCTGTTTTAAGAGTCGGTCATGTTAACATCGGACGAGAAAAAATATTTCGTGCTTTAAATGGATATTAAACAATCGAAAACATGCAGATCTGCGGTAATTTTTCTTATTTTATATATGCGTAAGATTTTAGCACATATTTAATTTTATGTCTACTAAAAATATTTATTGATATGTATGGTGGCATATTTCTGCCACCAGATAACCATATAACTAGCTAGTTAATCAAGAGGTTAACTAGTTACGTAACTAGTTAACCTCTTAATTAACTAGTAAGTTATGAGGTTAACTAGTTACGTAATAAGTTAATTTTTTCAATAAATAAAAGATCATAAGTATAGGTTAGAGTGCATATTGGGTGTTCTTCGTAAATAAGAAAGCTAAAAAGGAGCGGAGCTTGCGAAGCGACTGTAGCTTTCTTATTTACGAAGAACATCCAATATGCACTCTAACCTGCTTAGTGCTCCGCCCACTTGCGTTTTATAATATAAAACGTCCAGTTTATATAAAATCTGTTCTATTAAGATTTGTAACCTGAAAATTTGAAAAATCCTCGTCAGTGATTGGCTTAAAAAGACTGGCGAGCACTAACAAGAAATAAATGCATGTAAGTGCCTACAACTGTATCGAGGTGGTGTGTTATATTTCTCATAACAAACCTGTTTCAGTTTTAACGAGACTTTAAACGGTTTAAAAATAGAAAAAAAAAACAGCCGAAATAAACATTAAGATTATCGCCGTTTTCGTCAATTTACAAAATCTTTCGATAAATTCAATGTACCAGTCGGCTATGAACGAAGCTATCCGATTATGTGACCCCAGCTTTGCCGTGTGCAAAATGCGCAGCGCTTTTAAGTTTGGGAACCACATAATCGGATGGCTTCGTTCATAGCCGACTGGCACGTTTGAATTTATCGAAAGATTTTGTCAATGGAGGAAAACGGCGATAATCTTAATGTTTATTTCGGCTGTTGCGTTGTTTATATTACCGTTGAAGTTTAAAATTGACCATCATCGTGAAGAATCATATCTTCTGTGTCGATGGACCAAAGGATTATGTGAAAATATTGGAAATGGAATAAAATACACGGTGATTATGACGGCAGGGTGCGGATTTTTTTCCGGCGACACATTTTATCTTGTGTATTATTATAGATGTTGAAAAATATGAATTTTTTTTTTTTTTTTCAAACGGCTTATACTAAGTTTTTTTGATATATATGATCAGTACATGTGCTGGGATTGACAAATATGCATTTTATTTGGATTTTAAAGGCGTTTTGAGCTCCAAACCCCAAGTGTCTGTGAGAACAATGTCCATTTGTTTAACAGTCCAAGGGAAACAATTCTTCTGGTATTAAATATATTACATGTCCTATAGTTATCTGGCATGCTTAACACAACGATATTCTTAATGGAGAGGATTATTTCGAAATGTTTGAGCAAATCAGAAAGTGATAGGTGTTTCGCAAATGAATTTAAAGTGATATCATTAAAAAACAATTGAGACAGAATATTATCTATTACATATTTATCAATTAAAACAACAACAATTACGACGACAACATAAATACCAACAAGAACAAACAAATAATCTTAAAGTCCACATAAAGGGACTCCACTGAGGTTATTTTTACATAATGGGACTGAAAATATTTTTCCAGATAAATACGCCATTTGATGTAAGTTTAGACCTCTAATCTTTGTGCAAAATTTCAGATCATTCGCGCACTTCGTATTTCCAGAAAAATTCCTCTAATTCCAAAAAATGACCCAAAATGAAAAGCGTTTAAACGTTTTTCACTCAAATCGGGCTAAGAAATGCATAAAAATATGACTTTCAATTTATTTCAAAGTATTTTCTTACCTATCTTTGCATATATTTCTGTTGAAAGTGCCCCAGCTCATTTATGTAAGAAATTCAAATGTTATGTTTTTATGTTTTTAAACCTCAGTGGAATGAATTGTATATTTAGAATGACGACATAACGTTGCTAACGGATTGGCGCCGTTTTGTCAAAAATATTTATTAACTGATATGAATCAAATCTGTGGTGTTAGTGTATGTGAGATATTATTTCAGTATTGAATGAAAAAAAAAACATTATAAGAACTGAATATGAAATAAAAATGCTTTTTTATTGTTGCTTTAAAAGGCTTTGTAAACTATATAATCGAGGGAGAAAACATAACAGCCGCATATATATATAAGTAGTCCTTAACCAGTGTTTATTGGCAGTTTAACACTAGGTTTTTTCTTCTTTTTTGTCTACAGTGACAAAATCACGAGGAGCGTTAGAATTTTTAAATATAAACGTCTCAACTATCCAATGAAAAAGTGACGTTTCAAACTTGCAGTATTATAATAACTCGTATAAAGTTTAACATTGTCCTCGTAATATGACATTTATTATAGTATTGTATTACCTCAGTTGTACACAACGTTAAACGCGGGTACCAGTGGTAACACATGATATCATATTTAGACAACTTTACCAATCATTCTCTCAAATATTATTCTATAAATACCATTCTTATTGATTAATTCAATATTCATTTGTGTCACGTTAATTATAAATATGGATAATGACCCGTCTATTCAAAACTCTAGAGAAGCAAATAAAGCCGCAACGAACAAAAAGGTAAAGCATTTAAATATTGAATAGATCAAATAAAGCATGTATATATATATTTAGAAGTATGAATAGAAATTATTTATTTAAGAAATTTGATTTGTAAAATGTAAAGGGTTAAATGTTATAAAATGATTTTGTGTCGCTAAAAGTGTGTCTGTTTTTTTTTTTGTATGGAAATTTTATAAATTGAAGTTGATGTGTTTATGCCGAAGTATAGTTAAACTATATAGATCTACTTTGTAAAAAGATATACTGGAAAACTATGACCACTAAAAAGAAAGTACGTTTTCTTGTATTATTCTTCTGAATTTTTTTTTCTGATTTTTTTTTTGTAAAGAAGCGCGCTCTATTTTCATAAAGAAACCAACTTTCGTAAAAAAAATGAAATCCGGTAAATTTTAACAAACCGATCTTTTACCGAACATATTATTTTCCTGGTATTTTACGGATTCTCAACGTAAATATAAAAACAGTCTGTTTGTATAAGCGTTTTTTAGAGCTATTTATATCCTCAATTAAAACATCTTATATGAATAAGTCATAAACCATCCTGACTTTACAATATGTTCAACTACAGTCTTGAAGATTTTTTTTGAACATATTATAATATTTGAGCACATTGAGGAACGAAGAATGGGAAGTTGCAGTAGAGGTATTTTCCTTGTTTACCATTAATATGGACACATTAAATATGTTTAGATAATATATAATGGTAATCCATACAGAAACAAGCAAGATTTGTCTTACTATTATGTAAGTGTTTTAATTAAAATCTATAATCATGCCCTGATAAGTAAATTTAAATAAGCAGTTAGCCAACGTTTCTTCGGATCAAGCCAATTACTCAGTCAATTTATATAATCATCATATCTTAATTGTGTTATACAACCACTTATTAGGATGCCTTTAAAATATCTCTTAAAAATATATGTTATATATACACACACATGTACATTAAAGCCACGTTGCTTAATAATTGTAGAGTTTATACATTGCGTATCGCGATATTTATACAATTTAAATGTTGATGTAAACGATTTTTTTCAAAGACATTAAATAAATACAATATATGTATCAGATATACCGCAAGTCTCTCCCCACGACGTGTTTTGATATCTTCCTAAATAGTATAAGATATAAGTTAAGTTTGATTCAAGGCCGAGTTATTCGATACCAAAATATTTTACGGATCAATCAATCTATGATCCATATAGAAAAGACAACAGACAATCTTAGTGTCAATCAGTGTACTTATCTATATCTATATTAATTAGTTTAGAACAAAACAGAGAAAAATGGCGACAATTTCATATCTGAAATAATATGTTAATGTAGTTAATTTCTTAGATTAATGAAAATATTACACAGATAATAGGGAATATAAGTGTCAAGGGGGGGGGGGGTAGTCTCCCGGGGTAAATAAACAATAATAAACTGATCGGGTCTACGCTTAAAAAAAACAACCTTGACCTCACTACAGATATATGTGTGACTCCGGCATAGATAGCATGACCTTATTAAAATTGTGTTCCTTTCTTTTCGACTTTGATAGGTATCATATAATAGACTCATAATAAATTTTGCATGTAAATAAATACGAGTATTTGTACAGAACCTACTGACCGTTATTTTCAATATAATTATGTCATTTAATGATTGTGTGCAGAATGATAGTTATATTAGTTATATTAGTTATTCGGCGGTTATTAGTTATATAAACGATTGCCTAGCGGGCTGCGGTTGTATATGCAAACAACTGGTTATAAAGGGACATATAACCTGTCAAAACTCTAGCTAATAAAATATATATTATGCATGTACATGTATATCGTGATTTCAGAGAAACGTGTATGTGAAGGTCAACTTTCTCAAGGTCACTGATATTGATACGATAAAGGAAGTGTTTCATGCGGATGTCCTCGTTAAAGTCCGGTGGCGGGAACCTTCGTTAGACAACGCCAAGGTAACTGATAGACCATCACGTGATATAATATAACCTGCATCACGTGATATAATATAACCTGAAATCTCCGGAATATTGGGTAAAAAAACAACAACAACAAACAAGCAACAGACAATTTTGATATAAAACATAATGTAAAAGAAAATGTTTTATTGAACACAGGCGGCGCCATGTGATGTTTGTTCTCAGTTTTTTTTTTCTAAATGATGAACAAACAAATAAAACAATGTCGTTATTTATCTATTTATTTATTTATTATCTTTTGATTTTGTGCAAACAAAATTACAAAATTACTTATTGGTAATACTGCTCTGCAATATTACATTCTAATCTCTAATTTCTTTTTCTATATTGTACAGGATCTATCCGTGTCGGACTTTTCAAAGTTCTGGAACCCGAAAATAGTCATAAGCAACAGCGCACCTAGCGCCACGTGCAAAACATGGCGTTCCGTAAATCTCGCAAAAGACGGAGAGGCGTTCATTTTAGAAAAGTTTAGAGTAAAGGGGGTATTTGCCGAGAATTTAGAGCTCCATGATTTTCCATTTGATGTACAGGTATGATTTTTAGTTCATACAGCTTTCTTTTCAAGGTTATTTGATGATTGTTTTCGTGTGCGTGCACTAAGACGATTGTGGGCGTGTATGTATGTGGTGTGTGCGCGCAACCAGGCGAATGTGTATATGGAATGTGCGTGCACTAAGGTGTATGTATATGTGGTGTATGCGTGCACTAAGGCGTATGTTTTTGTCGTGTATGCGTGCACTAAGGCATATATATTTGTGGTGTATGCGTGCACTGGGGCGTATGTATTTGTGGTGTATGCGTGCACTAAGGCGTATGTATTTGTGGTGTATGCGTGCACTAAGGCGTATGTATTTGTGGTGTATGCCTGTGATAAGGCGTATGTATTTGTGGTGTATGCGTGCACTAAAGCGTATGTATTTGTGGTGTATGCCTGTGCTAAGGCATATATATTTGTGGTGTATGCGTGCACTAAGGCGTATATATATGTGGTGTATGCGTGCACTGAGGCGTATATATTTGTGGTGTATGCGTGCAATAAGGCGTATATATTTGTGGTGTATGCGTGCACAAAGGCGTATATATTGTTGGTGTATGCGTGCACTAAGGCGTATGTATTTGTGGTGTATGCGTGCACTAAGGCGTATGTATTTGTGGTGTATGCGTGCACAAAGGCGTATGTATTTGTAGTGTATGCCTGTGATAAGGCGTATGTATTTGTGGTGTATGCGTGCACTAAAGCGTATGTATTTGTGGTGTATGCCTGTGCTAAGGCGTATATATTTGTGGTGTATGCGTGCACTAAGGCGTATATATATGTGGTGTATGCGTGCACTGAGGCGTATGTGTATGTGTTGTATGCGTGCACTAAGGCGTATATATATGTGGTATATGCGTGCACTAAGGCGTATGTGTTGTGGTGTATACGTGCACTAAGGCGTATATATTTGTGGTATATGCGTGCACTAAGGTGTATGTATTTGTGGTGTATGCGTGCACTAAAGGCGTATGTATTTGTGGTGTATGCCTGCGCTAAGGCGTATATATTTGTGGTGTATGCGTGCACTAAGGCGTATGTATATGTGGTGTATGCGTGCACTGAGGCGTATATATTTGTGGTGTATGCGTGCACTAAGGCGTATGTATTTGTGGTGTGTGCGTGCACTAAGGCGTATGTATTTGTGGTGTATGCCTGTGATAAGGCGTATGTATTTGTGGTGTATGCGTGCACTAAAGCGTATGTATTTGTGGTGTATGCCTGTGCTACGGCGTATGTATTTGTGGTATGTGCCTGTGCTAAGGCGTATGTTTATGTGGTGTATGCGTGCTCTAAGGCGTATGTATTTGTGGTGTATGCGTGCACTAAGGCGTATGTATATGTGGTGTATGTGTGCGGTAAGGCGTATGTATTTGTGATGTATGCGTGCATTAAGACGTATATATATGTGGTATGTGCGTGTGTGCGCTGTGACGCATGAGTATTTGGTGTGTGCGTGGTCTCAAGCGTTCGTCCTTGTCTATCTCTTGTTATTGTTAATCTATAAGACATAATGTGCTGTTGTCAGCATACTGTGAATTACAAACATAAAGATTGATTGATATTTTGGTATCAAAAGGGAACCTTATTTCCTAATGAGTGAAAATCTATAGTGCTCTAACAATGACAAAAATGTTTTATAATAAGCTGATATTGAACAGACATATTTATGTTTGATATTTTAACCTGATTTGTGTCTGTGTTGTGTATATACAAACTGTATTTATCTTTCATTCACCAGGACTTATCAATCGTTGTATCATCGGAACTAGACGATGATGACGTAGACATCATCGAGGACAATGAAGAAGTCTCGGCAGTAAATGTTCTGTGTTTTGTCGACGATACGGAATGGACCGTCCGAGATTTTGTCTATTCGGAGCCTAGACAGTTTAATAAAGAGATAGCCGAAACGCAGTTCAAGAATCCGGCATTACTTGTAAAATGTGTGGCCACCAGGAATGCTGGGTTCTTCTTGTATAATATCATCTTGATCATGGTGAGTCTATATCTATATAACAAGAAAAAATATCTTAAATAGTACATGTTGTCGGAAACAAACGACAATGATTATATCAAATCTAAAAAAAAACCTTGAAAATTTAACCATTGGTCTATTGTAAAGAATGAATCCATTTTAAAGAAGAGCACTAATTCATGTTTTTTTAATAATGATTAACTTTTTTGTAACAAATTCCGACACTAAGTCTTAATTATTTTAAAGAACGGTAACTATGTATGTAACATTTACAAAGAGCTATAACTGTAAATGAATTATTTACAAAGAACGGCAACTATGTATCATTTACACAATCTTCACGCAGTAATCTCCCCTTCATTCTCCACTAATCAAGGGAAGTAACCGATGTGAGCAGTTTGACAAAGAACGGCAACTTTGCATGAAATATTTACAAAGAACGGTAACTATTGATTGACACATTTACAAAGAACGGTAACTTTATATTTTCAGACAATGATTTCCACTTTATCATTAACAACATTCGCTGTGGACAAATCTTTGATTCAAAACCGACTACAACTCGCATTTATCATAACACTTACAGGAGTCACATTCAAGATGGTGTCAAACCAGAGTCTTCCTAAAATACCCTACCTGACACATCTGGTGAGTTCTCGAACGTTTGTTTCTTTATTCCATTTCTCAAAATTCTAATAAACTGTACCTGTAACGCTGAATATTCTTGTATCTATGTTTCTTTTTTATTAGATGGTCATAGAGCAATACAATATAGTCCTTTTGTGGATCTTTCGTATGAAATTTCATAAGTTTTGCAAATTCAACGTTGGATGAAGGTTAAATCGTCCTTGATTCAGGATGAAAATACTATAATTATAGTCAATGTAGTCGAATTATTGCAAAATCAAAAAAAAAAAAAAGGGGAAAAAAAAAACGTTTAGAAAATAAATTTTTTATTACCTCCCTTTATTTACATGAAATGTTAAATTTATAAATAATGCTTTTTGGAACCTACACTTTTGATAAATCTTCATTTGAGCATCATATTTATGATTTAAAACCATTAAAAATTGTGTTACAGGATCTTTAAAAATAAAATAAAGATTTGTTATTTCAGGATCGTTTTATCATTGGGAGTATGGTATATAACTGGCTGGTATGTCTTTGGCACGCGGTACTGTCACAATATGAAGGTAAAAGTAACCAAGGTGACATGGACAAAATTGCGTTCTTTGTTCTGATTGGTCTACTAGGAGTCTTCCATCTTGTCTTTTGGCTAGTAGTTCTTATAAAGGTAAGTTAAAGTGTTTGTATAAAATCTGGCGGACTTTAATTATCAATAGTTCATATAACAACCAAGGATAGTTGATTTATATAACCACCAGAGATAGTAAGTTAATATAACCACCAGAGATAGTAAGTTAATATAACCACCAGAGATAGTAAGTTAATATAACAACCAGAGAGATAGTAAGTTAATATCGTGACGTGGCTAATTAGCTATTTTTTGTTATTCAGAGAATATACCAGGAGTTCAAACTGAAGGACAGAGAATCCGTTTATCAGGTATATCAATTATCTTTATATCTACTTTGTACACTTTATTTAGGAAATATATGAGCCGCGTCACGACAAAACCAACATAATGGTTTTGCGACCAGCATGGATCCAGACCAGCCTGCGCATCCGCGCAGTCAGATCAGGATCCATGCTGTTCGCTTACAAACCCTATAACAAGTATAGAGAAACTGATAGCGAAAAGCATGGATCCTGATCAGACTGCGCGGAGGCGCAGGCTAGTCTGGATCCATGCTGGTCGCAAACGCACTATGTTGGTTTTGTCGTGAAGCGGCTCATATATCAATTTTGGGTGCATTGTTGTAGAATAATATACGGCTCGGGAATATAATCACGAAGGCCGATATGCCGATACTTATGTACAGAGATAATTGCTTAACGTTCGCATAATATAAGAATGTTCGTTTACGTATACATTGTAGATTAAACTGGTAGTTTTGTATCAAACGTTGGGTTATTTTATCATGTGCGGATAGATATAAAAAGAAGATAATAGTTCATAATGCATCTTTTTATTTTCACAACCTATCATTTAACATTTAAACTATTTAAAGACTTGTTCAAAAGATAACGTATAATTCTGCTCATTTTATTCATATATTTAACAGGAAAAGGCACTTAGATTAATGGGCTCCTCGTGGAAGAGTGAAAGAATCAACCGTAGAAATAGAATTACCAGAAAAAATAAAATAGACGCGGGAGGCAACTTTGTTTGAAGGTGTTACATGTTCGTAGTGATTCCTTCCCTTTGATGGTGTGACGTGATTAAAATTGTTACAGTTTGAAAGGGTTATTGTAAATCTGTGATATTTTTTATGAAATTTTCTCCAACTTTTTGTTAATTATTAATTTTGTTTACTATACTCTTTTTCTTTATAAAAGTAAACAACAACAAAAAATGTTGTTGTTACATGTGTTACATTGCGTCTGTAAGGCTTGCTGAAAATGTGATATAAATTGGGATCTCTATTTGAACTTGTCATCCGAGTAATTTTAATTTTAGAAGCTAATTTTCGCACTCGCGTCCTCTAGATTTGGAGATCCTTAGATTACTAGACCGTCATCTATAATTTGACGGCGTAAAAGTAAAAAAGAAGAAAAAAAAAAACAATAAACCTGAGACATTTCTTTTTCTTGCAATACTTTTACAATAATTTATTTCATATGTTTTATATAATTGATTTATCTATATGGTTTAATCTGAAAAATATCTTCTTTTTTAAATATTTTAATATATGCTTTATTTTATGTTTATCATTAATATTGTAACATATTTTGTATTCTAAATGTTTTAGATCGGATACTATTCGATATATTATAATATCGCATGGCGAATGATATATTAATTTAATAAATATTCTAAAGCTGCAAAAATTTAATTCAGTTTTTTTATATTTTACACTGACAAATGTAAAAGAATAGTGACAGTGATGGTAGGGTTATTTGTGATAATGATAGCTGTAGGTACATTTATAGTATCCCGCATTTCAACTAGACCACAGATCTTTGATTTTTCTAAAGGAAAGGTCAAAAGAAGTTGTCTAGGTTTAGAAGTACTAATCAACTCCACTTTCGTATCTCAATATCTAATGCTATTTTTCACTATATGAAAATGTGTTATTTCTATCTACATTATACAAAAGAACTATTGTTTCCTCTTTGGGCCTATGATATAGCCTTTCGCTAATTAAATACTGTAAGATCAAGTGGGAACTGTGGCCTCCGACACCTTTGTATAGGACTCACCGTGAAGTCGGGGGCACTCCTGTCTCCCGACCGCCATTGGGAAGTCGAGGGACAGGAGTGCATCTGGCACGGCCTGGGGCGCGTTTCTTCGCAAGAAGACCTTATTGGAGCTTCCATGCCCCAGGTCGTGCTCTGATTGAGTTCAGGTCCACGATAGAGTAGACGGAGACCCCAGTTCCCGCCGATCAGAAAGTTTTTCTAGATCATATTCAAATTCACTCTGCATAACTAAACACTTGAATATTACCTAACACTTTAAGTGAAGGGAAGTAAATGCAACAACATCTACGTACAAAGTCTTTTTTGTTATCTCCCCCCCATCTACCATTCGCATCTCTATAGTACCATACCTTTTGTTATTGTTAAAAATTAGACTTCTCCATTTATACCTTAAAAATGATTCGCATGTTACTTAAATTTTTGTAGTAAATTCATTTACGTAAAAAATATTGATTGTCGTTACGACTATTGTGCAGTAATCGTCAATTTAATACTACACATTGTTGAAATAGAAAGTATACATGTGTGTGTGTGTGCGTGCGTGCGTGCGTGCGTGCGTGCGTGCGTGTGTGTGTGTGTGTGTGATTGAGTTTATTGAAATTTGCTATCGGTTGCTCATATACATGTAGATGAGTCCTCCGGAAAAGTCATTTTAGATTTTGAAGGATAGTGTAAGATAAGAAAGATACACTTATTCCAGAAGCTTCTCCTATTACTTTAGCATGGCAAGTCTTCAAAAACCTAATACACGCGATTTAAAAATTCATCTGAATAATGTTTCGTAATTTTTGTTGGCAGTCCGATAATCGAACCACAATTTGATTACAAAAATCTGGAAACAAAGTGATCCCTTGGAAGGATTTATCACAACAAAAACAATTACGTGAACATTGCAGATTGAGTCTGTACATGAGGGATAATTAATAAGAGCAACATCCCTCACGCTTCTAGCACCGGCTTCAGCGGTGCTCATTTCTCAACACTTAATAGCGTCGGCATCAATGATCCCGAAGGACCAGACAAATATAACAACACTGAAGTGAATTACGGGTCAACTTATACAGCTGGCACACGGCACTTGACACCTTTTGATGTGAAGTAAACAAATCTGGAAAAAGCGATCCCTCGGAAGCATTAATCTCAACAAAATTACGTGAAAATTGCAGACTCGGGTTGACTGAGTCTGTACATGAGGACTATGAATAAGCGCAACTTCTCTCATGCCCCCTAGCACCGACTTGAGTGGTACTAAATTCTCAACACTTAATAGTGCCGGTATCAATGATCACGAAGGACCAGAAAAGGCCTCGTGCTCTAACCGAATGTCAGCTGGCAAGAGAAATGGTTTAAATTTTTCAGTGATAAAATAAATCTAGCTGTTTTAACAACTTTCAAGTTTTAGTACATTTTACTACGATCACTTGACCTTTCTGCTTGTACGGTGTCAGCCAAGTGTGATTGCATACAGAAATAGCTGGACAAGGGCAATTTTTTATTTATTCTGTCAGTTATACGTACCGTTTAGTTCTTTAGCTCTTCCACATTCGTCATCGAAGCACGTGACCTCTGAATAAACGTTTTCACATTTCTTCAGTTTAAAATTGCTGAAAATGAAAAAAATACAACATTATAAAAGATCGGTCACTATAAGGCAAGGAGGCCAACAATGCATCCATCGCCACGCGATTTAAGCCGATGACATTCTTGTTATAATCGTCTTATACCGCCATGGGTTCGAAAATATACTACAATTGGTTTTCGGCAAACGCAGAACACAAAAATCTAGTTGTTTAGGTACTGTGAGATCAATTCTCTTTATAATTGCGTTGGTACAATAACTCAACAAATTGAATGCTTAAGTTCTAAGGATTTCAGTTAAAAAAACCTACTAGCACATAAGTTGTCTTTCTATTACGTTACTTTGTTGTGAAGGTGTACATTTGTAAATACACCTTCCATACGTTTGAACAGCAGTGAAATCCGATCCGTAAACCATAAACCATTCATCTGACGTCACATCCTGTTAGTGTAATTGTATGTAAACTAGTAACACGAAATAAGTATAATACAAGCGAAGCAACAACTCTCTAGAAGTCTGAACAAAATCAATTCACAATTCACATAGATTCACTGACGAAGTATTTAGTGTTTTAAGCTAAGAAGTTAACTTTGCACTTATCTGTATTACGTTTGCAATATTTGTAGCTACCCATTGGCGTCATATATCTGTTAATGCTTGTACCAAACTTTTGACGTTATATGTTATATTTGTACATATCTATTGACGTCTTATATATCTGTGTATATGGTCCTATTTATAGATATCCTATAATATCTTGTATGTTTGTACGTATTATTCCTATTACAATATCTATTTTTGCTTCATCAAAGAACGAAACATATTTTAAAAGTAATTTGTTGAACCGTTGAACAGTATTTTACTAATGTTACAGAAATATGGTCGCATCTATGAATATTTCATGATGTTCTACTTCATTTAAAGATATATTTGCTCAATTTGATATTATAGATTATTGGTTATTGCTATACAGTCTCTTTGTAAATATAAAATAAACATGTTTTGACTTCATAAAAGGTGATCATAATATGAATATATAGTTCATTAAAAAAAACTGGCTTTTTTGTTATTAAGAAACCAACTTTGCTTGACCTCGTATAGGGAACGCAGCTTCCCATACGTAGTTTATTCATTCTTTTATTTAAAAAGACATAGATTTCAAAAATTGTCTGTGATTGAAATATTTCACTCAATGATAAGCATAGTATATCTTTAAATAGTAGAAAAAAGTTTTGTTTAAATTTGCTATATTTGGGTTTGTTTTTATAATTTTACCTTATCTGTCAAATTTTGTACCGATACCAGGTCTGTATTCAACTCGAATAAAGAGCAATTTTGATTCGATGTTGCACAAGAATCTGCAGCGTACATATCAGTCGCCATCAAGCTAATCAGTAAAACTAATTTGTATATATCCATTGTGCTGAAATATAGAAATATATCAATTGTGCTGAAATATAGAAATATATCCATTGTGCTGAAATATATCCATTGTGCTGAAAATAGAAATATATCCATTGTGCTGAAATATAGAAATATATCCATTGTGCTGAAATATAGAAATATATCCATTGTGCTGAAATATAGAAATATATCCATTGTGCTGAAATATAGAAATATATCCATTGTGCTGAAATATAGAAATATATCCATTGTGCTGAAATATATCCATTGTGCTGAAATATATCCATTGTGCTGAAATATAGAAAATAGAAATATATCCATTGTGCTGAAAAATAGAAATATATCCATTGTGCTGAAATATATCCATTGTGCTGAAATATAGAAATATATCCATTGTGCTGAAATATATCCATTGTGCTGAAATATATCCATTGTGCTGAAATATAGAAAATAGAAATATATCCATTGTGCTGAAAAATAGAAATATATCCATTGTGCTGAAATATAGAAATATATCCATTGTGCTGAAATATATCCATTGTGCTTAAATATATCCATTGTGCTGAAATATAGAAAATAGAAATATATCAATTGTGCTGAAATATAGAAATGTATCCATTGTGCTGAAATATAGAAATATATCCATTGTGCTGAAATATACAAATATATCCATTGTACTGAATTACAGAAATATATCCATTGTGCTGAAATATAGTAAAATATAGAAATAAATACAATTTAGTAGAGGATAGGAAAGTTTATATATACTTCAATATTTATATAAAAATATTAGCATTTCATTTTAGCCCTATGTTCAGGAAATGGATATCTTTTTTATACGTACAATACTGCCATTTATGTTATTTAGATTGGTTTTTATCCATATTTTTTCAGTAAGACGAGGGTTTAGTCAAGGCGATTCGATTACACCGTATATCTTCCATTTTTGTATAACAAAATTAGCTTTAAAATAGTCATGTTCAGCTAAACATAAATTAATGGATGGCGAGGATTATAAAGTTTCACAATTTGTAGGTGAATAAATTACCTCTGTTATATAATTCTGCAAAAAATATACTGTTTTAAAGTTATAATTTATGCAGAGATCTCGGGATGAAACATGAATTAAACTGTTACTGCTGTTACGTGACTTCACCTTCCGTTAGTAATGCCCACTCGCTCTATAACTTATTAAATTGTTTCTGCTGTTATGTGACTTCACCTTCCGTTTTTAATGCCCACTCGCTCTATAACTTATAACCTAATGAAACGTTTTTAAAAATAACTTATAAAAAAATATACAGAGAGCAAAATCAGACCGCTACCACAAGGTCAAGGTCACACTAATTGGTCAAATCGATAACTTAAAAACTGATTAAAAGTTTAAAAACAATTTCCAACTTGGCACAAATGATCACAGTAATACACCTTCATGAGATAGGCTAAACCTACAGGGAAAAAATCGAGACCTTCATAAAAAGACAAGAAAAAAATCGAGACATACATGAACAAAACACTGGACCTACATACATAAACGAGAACTATATAAACAGAGACCTACATGAAAATGACGATACCTTTATAAAAGGCGAGATCTACATTAAAGGTCAGACATACATGAAAAAAATGAGACATACATGAAACAGACGAAACTTATACCTACATGAAATAGACGACACCTACATAAACGACCCGTCATAAATGGGATAGACTAGATTTAATGAAATAGACAAGACTTACACGAAAAAATAAGATTTTCATTAAAAAACGAGAATTACATCAGAAAGATCAACCCTATTTAAAAAAACGAGATTTACATGAAGAAGACGATACCTTTATAAAGACAACCAATAAATAGAAGATCAGCCCTAAAAAAAAAAAAAAAAAAAAAAAAAACATAAATGGAGTAAACGAATGATGAAAGAACATTCATGATTGTGTAACACAAAAGAGAAAATTTATACAGGTACCGTCTACTGCATAGCAAATAAACCACATTTAATTCTATTATGTTATTATTGTAAGGTATAAATATGAAGCATCAGCTATGTGAAGGTCATACCTGTATTATGAAACGTGTTAACGATGTAAACGCGAAATTTTATGCACACGTTTATTGTGGATTTTTTGTCATAATGTATAACAATACCGAGTGTATACGTGCGCCGTTCGTGCGCGTGTGCCTATGTGCGCGTGTTATTTATTTATTTGTCAAAAAGTTACATCTTTTAAATATTTTGTTTAGGTGCCATTAATCTAGCTTAAGGTCTTCAGCGTATCCGTTTTATACCGTGACAGGTCGTGTTTAACACCGCATCAGACAAAACAACAAATGTTTTAAAAAAACGGCCTCAAAAGTTTTGGAAGCCAGAACCATTATTTAATTAACAAACGCCGGAATCCGTATATTTTAGCTGCAATAAGTAACAGTTATCTAAACGTGTCTGCAATAAGTAACAGTTTTCTAAACGTGTCTGCAATAAGTAACAGTTTTCTAAACGTGTCTGCAATAAGTAACAGTTTTCTAAACGTGTCTTCTTACAGACTTAATTAGACACTTTTTGAATTCCTCTGCTTTGGATATAGCCGCATAAAGAATTTTACAATTTATTATCACTAAACTGTTTTAGATAATAAACTCACATGTTTTAATGAAAATGATAATTGACTTATTGTTATGTACATTTTTAATGTTATATGAACAAAATTAGATATTTTGAATTATTATTGAAATATCATATCTTATATCATTTTACACTTCCTTCTTTATATAATAACAATATGTTTAAATTAGTATGCATAAGCATATCTTCCTAGTTTACTACAATTTAATCACAAAACGACGGTCAAGTTCAGTAAACATTCAGTATGTACTTTATTAAGAATGTCTTTGATAACCGAGAAAGACGTAAGATGCTGCACTATAAAACAATCGCAACTTCTTGGTCATTTACGTCAAACGTCGGAAAAAATATGTTTGATTAATGGCGAGGTGTTCCAAATAATTCATGTACTATAAACCCAAGTACGCCGATCGACTTTCCGTAAGCTGCGGATGTGCCATCATTCAACCTAGAAAACATACATACATTCCTATCAAGTTTTCTATAGATAAATTTTTACGACAACACTGTAGATCTTGATAAGGAAAGAATATATGTATTTGGAGAGAGATTGAAAAAATATTTGTAGTCTGTACAATGGTAGAATTATCTTTCAAAGACACCCTGCTCAAACTACAATTACTAGAACATCACTTGCACTATATTGTCACAATTTTATTCGTTAAAGGGAGGTAATCACTGAAAAATAATTGACAAATGATTGATGCAGTGATGTGCCCTTATATGATATTTAAAATATCAGCACACAAATTATATCACACCTAGCTAACAGTCACTTTCTCATGGTCAGCATGTTAACATGTTGTTGAGTATGTACTTGATGTATGTTTGGATATTGATCATTTATACATTAATAATTTGAAGTATTTTGTTTACAATAAAATATTTTAATTATGGATAAAACAGCTTTTCTCATTGGTTGTTTTTTCGGTTAAGTCAGAAGTCATTTTTGTACTACAACTCCATGCCATTGTTGTATTTTTGATAAACAACAATTTTATTGGTTGTTTCATCAGTTAGGTCAAGGGTAACTTTTGTATTACTATGCCAAATTGTATTTAGGTTCGGTTTTGGCGCCTTTAAGTTACAGTTTTTTGTCAAGACAGGTACACAGACGGTTGTTTTCTTGAAATATGCCACACCTCCCGCCCTTTGTCTTATGTGTCTTTTATTGTTTAGCTTGTTCAGTACTGTATTGCATGTTGTTATTTGTATTTGTTTTATTTTATGTGTAGTTTTATACAAGTAAACTCTCTGTACAATAGAGTTTAAAAAGAGGTTAAAATGTAGAAAAACGGTGACGGAATGTGTTTAAATTTTATGGAAACCGAAGAATTAATTGTATTTAGCAGGAGAGCACCTTTAGTTGAATACTATTGATACAGTGAAAAATTTACGTTGTTTTATGGGGTGATAGTTTGAATCAATGTATAAATAAGTTTATATCAACTACAAAGATATAGCTTATAAATTATTGAAATAAGACATCTGTAATTGATAAAAGTTTATTGGGTGATTATTCATATGAGTATGCAATAGTTGAATTGATAGTTTTACTCGTTTTAATTATAATTAAAACATTTCAGCAGAATTAAAATGTTTCGACCGTCACGGCTGCGCAATGAAAATTGATGTTACAAACGTGCAGTATTGTAAGTATGAGAATACGAGACATAAATGTAGTGAGACTTAAATGTAGATAATGTATTCAGGATGCGAATGCAAAATTGGAAATCTGCATAATTTAGGCGATTTTTATAATAATAATTTTTATAATCTAGCCATCATAAGTGCCGATGCACTGAAAAAGATCATTCAAACTTAAATTTCATTGCATACAATGATACAGACAGTCTAAAAGATGTTGCTTTGAAAGCATTTGTAAAGATCAGCACAATAATAAAAATAAAAACATTATGTAACAGTCACATGGGAGCGTTTGAAGGTTGTATTTTTACAATTTATATATGCCGTCTCTGGTTTATAACATTATTATTTTTTGATTATGGTTTGTTAGAAGAAACATTACCAAAAAAAAAAAAAAAAAAAAAAAAAAAAAAAAAAAAAAAACATTATTAAAGAAATATGCTTATGTACTTCTTTAGTGCATTACAAATGAATTAATCAGTATATACAAAATGATCTACCTATTTGCAAGTATTGAAATAACTGTTTTTATACTTTCTTTATTATTTTATAAAAATGCAATATTTTATAAGATATTTTAAGACATCGCTTTATACTACCCTTTTTATAGTACTTTTTTTTCTTTACTTTGTAAGAAAGATACTTTAAAGATCCTGTGTGTGGTAACCAGACTCAAGTGAAATTTTATATATGTATACAACAATTTTCAAACATCGAAGAATTTGCAAAATTTGTACTGCAGATATTTTAAACACATTACATGTACTCATTAAAAATTTGCATTCATTTCTTATTGTAAAAATTTACATTGACTTCCTTTATTAAATTATAAATGTAAATTCGCTAATAATTTTACAAATTATGCGTTTGGGAACTTACAACATTAATAAATCTTCATTTGAGCTTTTTATTTATGATATAAAAAACATAAAAAATGAGCAACAGGTACTTAAATATAATTATTCTAAAAAAACAGCGAGTATAAGGAAAAGGCAATTAACAAAGCTAAGATGTTCTGTCTGTCCGATCCTGTACCGCTGGTATCGATCAATTTGCCATCAAATCCACATTCTGAAAATAACCAAGAAATTAAAGGTAACTTAACAAACAAAAATGGCTGATTGGTTGGTTAGTTGGTCGTGTTTAACGTCATACCAACAGACTGAGGGTATTTTTCATATCTACTGGTGGAGACGACCTCGAGTGCCCCTTCGTACATTATTTCAGGAACGCACGAACGGGCATTTTCAGCATAAAATGAACAATTTTTATTGCTATTTGTCAAAAGCGTTATTTTTTCTAAATTGATAATTTAACGTAAAGATACATTACCTGGACCTTTCCAGGAAAACTTCATTTTGTCATCCGACATATCCATGTTGAAATGATATTTCAGGTCGGAGGCAATTAGTTGCCAAGGAAGTTCTTGTAGGTCAAGTTCACTATCATCAGAATCTGTAAATAATATAAAATATTAAAATTTGATAAGTATGTCCTACCGAATGCTGTCACTGTAGCTTTTTCAAACAGTTTTGTACCAGACAAAACACCTCACTGTTTTTGTATTTCATTTAATCTGAAATATTTTATCTGTGTGTCGTTCTTAAAATGTTGTATACGACTTGACCGTAATATTAGCATATACAGAACTAAAAAATATTAAACAACAGTTTCCATATCGATAAATGTAGAAATATAATCTCTATTGAAAACTTGTTCGTCACATTTTGCCAAATTTTCAAGCACCGTGGCATATTCATACACAGACTGACATAATATACGGTCCCGTACATCTCCGTATTTCAAGTTTCCCGTATTCTTACCCGTATATTGTTGATATACGGAATTCCGTACACTTCCGTATATCCATATCTTTTTCGCAGTGAAAACAGCAGTTTCAATATCGTTAAATGTAGAAATATAATCTATTTTGAAAACTAGGAACTCGCGCGATCGTCACATTTTGCCAAATTTTAGAGAAATTGATTTTGCATATGAAAGAAGTTATTGCAGATTAACATTTAACCCGCTTGAAATAGTCTCTGTCACCGTTATGGGTAATATCAATTTTAGCTCATTTTTTGTACATTAAATTTTATATAGAAATCTCATGAACTCTAAATTGTCTGCCTTTATTCCTCTCTACCTTACTTCGTACTCCATTTTCTTCTGTGGAGTAAAATACTTTTATGTAATACAGATACTTTTAAGGTAAGTAACATATTACTTGGTTCAAAATTCACATCTTTGGCTTATACTCCGTGGAAATTAAATGGAGGTAAAAAATGTCTACTTTGTGCTTCAAAATTTACTCTTTAAGGGCATGACTGGTGACTTGTCCGGGGTCTGTAATCGACAGCGAAAACTAATTGCTGTGCCTTAACGCGCGGATGGACCCTCATTAAACATAGACTAAATACATACATATTACTTTTTATTTACTTGATCCCAACTGCAATAAGCCAAGCGAGACTAAATTTGGTTTATTCTTGCGGGTCATAATGTTTTGTAGTAAATTGTCAAGAGACGTTTTCATGAAAACCTTATGCTCAGTAACGCTAAAACAGTTAAAGTTTGTTTGCACAAGAAAATCTTTTGATTTTTTTAAACTTTATCACTGTGACGTAGCGCATACACGAGCTGTTTATAGTCTTCATTTGCCCGTTAAAATTCGTATACGAACTTTAGTGTTACAGCGGGGTTTTTCTTTTAAAAACAAAATTTAAGAATATTTAATGAGATTTAGAACAACACTGTAAAAACTGAAAATAAAACTATAGAATGATTGGTTTTTAAAACCGACGGAAAAAATATTTTTACATATTTATAAAATGCAGATTTATTCAATTGTCTCCCTACCAGAGTATCTAGTTTTGCTAACGAGAAGATCAAGGTATCCCGTCGTGCATTTGTTGTCACTGTCGTACTCATAGCAAGAATCGTACCAGAAATACTTGTCTAAATCTTGAATGTAAAACTTCGCATCCATCGTTGTATTTACATCTATTATAATATATAGTAGCACAGATATATGAAAAAATCTCGCAAAATCTCGCGACATATGATAACGTGCGGGAACACAATTCCGCCGATACTGATTTTAACTGTGTGATGTCACAGTCCCTTCTCCATCTTATATTTAGCTCCATGATCATAGTATACCTATAATCGTACCTTTATTGATTTATCAGATAGTAAAACATTAAATACTACTCTAAATTCGTTTAAATAAGTTCAAGATTATCTATATATATTATAGCATTATATATAAAAAAAGGTTTCTAGGAAATGTTGAATTTTAGTAACGTTCACTTTGTGTATGTCTATTTCTGTTAGCACTTTCAATGTTGTAGCACATAATAATAATAATAATAATAATAATTATAATAATAATAATAATAATGATAATAATAATAATAGTTACTGTAATAATAATAATATTATACCTTATGTATATGAAATTCACTCAGTAAACGTTTCATTTTGTGTTGTATATAAACATGAACATAAACCACGAATGGGATATACGTGTGAGAAAAGTTAGCATAGTTAAAATTCTCATTGACATTAACGAGTATTATTTGTTAATAAAAATGATAAATTATAACTAAATTCGAGTGATGAATAAAAGTTGTATATACATGTTTAACGAATCTTCAAGTAAGATTTTACCGTTCTCTTCCCCTCGACTGCAGTCTGATGTCTTCCGTTTGACCAACCTTTCGTAATCTTCGCATTCCTTAATTTAAGTCAAAATTGCTGAAAGGTAATAAGAAACGAAAATAAAATAAAAAAACAAAACATTTCTTTCATGATTGTTCTTGTAATTGTTGTAAATTTTAAAGCTGCATGTCTCCAACTAACAGAGCCGAGGCAAATTATTTCAAGAAAATCAAACTTAAATAGAATGTACTGAGATTTTAAGAAAAATCAAAAGATTGGACTTGAAGATACAATTGATAATTGCCATGTCATGTGCATTAAATTTCATATGTGGCAGTAAATTCAACGTTATTATAAAGATTTGTATGAGCGTTAGATAAACCAATGAAAATCAACGTTATAAAATTGCAGCGTTATAAAGATTTTTATGAGCGTCCCGATAAACCATTTAAATAAACGTAATACAATTGCAGCATTATAAAGGTTTGTATGTATGCGTCCAAATAAACCAATGAAAATCAACGTTATAATATTGCATTATAAGATGTATAAAGATTTGTATGCGCGTCACGATAACAAAGGAAAACTAACGTAACAAACGTATGACGAACATTGTTTATACGTCATAATATACCTTTGAAACGACGTAATAAACGTACAGTGTCATTCGACATAATCAACCTACGGATAGACCAGGGCTTGTGGATATGACTATTATGACTTGGTCAATAATCGAACCCAAGGTCTCCCTGTAGTTTATAAAGGGTAACGAACTCCATATCCTTCTAATAGCATGATCGTAGATTAAACTAGAGGTCTGACGCATAACTAAGTCAGTGATTACACCAAATACTTTTCAAGACACTCTACCAACAGTACGTATCAGAAAGAACATTTTTATCAAATAGAGTAAATAAGAATCCATAAAGAAAACCCAAAATGACAAAACTTGAAAATATTGCAGGCTCGGTTTGATTGAGCCTGTTCATGGACGGTACTGTAAAGTGCAAAGCCAAACTATCATCCAAGCCCACTAGCACTGCCTAAGCAGAATTCAACATTTAAACATGAAATTGTAAAATTTTGAATTTAGCAACATCCGCTGATGTGTTTATCCGGCGGTTATCATGGAAACTTCAAAGTGACTTTTGTGTCATTCCACGAAAAGCGGCGTATGGTCCCCAAGATAATTATAGAAAACGTGTGCCCTAAACAGAAAACAATGGGCGAAACTAAACAAAATAGAATTTGGAAAGGGGATCACAGGTTATGATATTACAGACAGGACATCAAAAGACACAGTTAAAAAGCAGGCAACATATCCTAAGGGCAATTCTACAGTATTCAAGAAGGAATATTGGAACCACCCAACTAGAAAATGCCTGATTGTTAAAACCAAAAATACTACAAACACAACAATAATGTCGTGCTAAATGATCTTAAAGGATCGAGTTTAAGGATCAAGTTTGTTGTCAGTGACTTACTAGCACATTAACTCTCCCTTGTGGTTCTGCTCGGAATTGGGTGTATGCCATCTGAAGTTACATTTACCATACGTCTGTGTGGACGAAAACTGCGTCTTGTAAATCATTATCCAGTGTTTTGTCTGCACCTTCTGTTATAAAGATGATTGGTTAGTTGTTTGTGTTTATTTTACAGAAATATCATGTAATTAAACTAATACTAGCTTCTATAGGTGCGGGACCTTTGCCTAAACTGGAAGTTCAAGAATGCTGTATTTGACTTCTATTGACCAGCCTCTTTGAATATTGGAAATCAAATTACGTTTTTTTCTAAATTTCACAAAACTAAACAATTATTGACCCCCCTTTGGAAAACTTATAATATGCCAAATCCCATCTGGAATATGCATTACGCCTTTGTGAAGTTGAGCATCCAGTTCTGTTGAAAGACCTAGACCCTTGCTTGTTTCTTTTTATATAATAAATTATTTGAAACACTTATATCAGAGACGGAGTGCACAATAATCATAAATTATATTTTCTTTAGATCTAATAGTCTATATATAAGGACAGAATGCATGTTATAATGTTGTTGTTGTTGTACATAAATAATTTTACATGGATTTCGTTGCAGAAGTCTATAGGCTTATAGGCACACTTGCCAATCTGCTCCTGGAACCATGCATGCAGCCAGAAATGAGCAATGAGTTAAAAGTTTTTTGCTTAAGGATACTTAGTCTTGCCCCATACGGGGTTATATCTTAAGTAAATAGAGATCCCTATGTGACAAGTCCCACTCGTTAACTACTCGACCATGCCGCCACATGTTCTTTGTTTGCAATATAAAAACTGTCTGCCTGTCTGCCCTACATACCTACCCCTCCTACCTACCGATCGATCGATCGACCGTCCGACCGACCGTCCGTAAACCCCGTATGCCCGCCCACCAAACTTTTCTACCTACCTACCTACCTACCTACCTACCTATCTACATACTTACTTTCTACTTATGCTAAAACATTCGAATTTTCCTAAACGAATTGTAAAATTAGATCTATGTTGTCCTGTAACTTTATTTTCCTTCGTATTATACGTATTACTAAGTTTTAGAAAGAAAGATAGTATGTGTTACCTGAGCCAGATCTTGTAGAGTCACAACACCGCGGTCTTGGTTTGGGAAAATTGAACAAGATTGCGTCTCGTTGCATGTTTCACTTACTGCTGACGTCACAATTAAATGTCACACACAAAACCAGCACACTACCAAGTTTTACCATTCTGTGTTTAGATAAAAAGAATTACCTTGAAATAGTTAACTTATATGTTGTGTTTTAGATATAAAAAAGGCAGGAAAGGTCAAAATAAATTCTATGTATTGACCCTTTACCTCATGTAGACGTATTTGACGACTTTTCGACCCCCCCCCCCTTTTTGAGGCCTCAAACAGTGAAAAAATAGCATATTCATGTCCCAAACACTATTTTCGTTTAAGAAATGTTGATAAAAAGTGATCAATTTTTCGGCGCCGCCCCCTATTTAAAAGGTTCACCAAAAAAAAAATTGAAATGTGACAGGCGTAAAATGGCCTCAGGTCGATCGTAATGTAACATGTAACCAACGCCGAAAAGCCTTTTACTCCATATCAATCCATCGAGAAGTTGCAGCACTTTGAAATCAGTTTTCATGGGAAAAAAACAAATGCAAAAAAGTGATTTTTGGCAATTTTGAGACTGCCTTCGTTGCCATGTTAACAGGTAATTTAAGAATGAGAATGATGGTCAAGTCAACACTTGTGCCAAGTTTCTTTAGTATTGAAGCATTTTTCATAGTTTCATTGCGATTTGAACTTCTAACAGGAGGCTTTACAATGAACATTATGAAAACGGCCATTTTTTCACAATATGCTCATGAGGTAAAGGCTTGATGTCTTTACCGAAAGATCTGAAAATGTATGCGCATGTTTTATTTATCTGAAGTAGTCATGCATTTGTAGATACCAAATTGTTGCAAGACAAAAAAATAATAAAATAATAAAAAAAAAAATAAAAGAAGAAAATGGCGTCACACTGCCGCCACATATTTATTTTGACAAAATTGGATATCGGCTGTCTCCCCCAAAGAATGCATTGTACAAAATCTAGAAAGAGGCAATACAAGTGATAGAAAGAGCATCAAAACACGAGGTTATCTGGATTGTACGAAGGGGCGTAGCCCCCGAGTATTAATCAGATTGCCGAGTGTTTTGATGTTCTTCCTCTTATGTATCATAGTCAAACATAAAGACACGGTCCCTGTTGTCACAATGTGAACCCCCCCCCCCCCAAAAAAAAAGTAATCAATAAACGAGCATCTGAATATGAAATTGCTATCGCTTTCCCGTTCTCTGCCGGCACAATAAGTAAACCCCAGCAAAAATGAGCCAATCAATTGGCCTGCTCTGCATCGCGGGTAATTAATACCTGCACTCCAGTTAACGCACTGTGCATGTACATGTATACGATTTAACTCTGACACAATTTCAACAGAAAGGTTCCAAAACTATGATACAGATATGAAAATGTTTAATTGGTGATGGAGTATCTTCCGAATTTATCGAAAATAAAGTGTGAAATGACATAACGTGTATCAAAATCATAAAAAATAAAAGAGAGTAAAAAAGAGTAAAACCCATATTCGTATTTATTACGAAATATATATTTCTTAAAAGTATAATGAAAGAGACGATACGGATTATATTTCTCTATAGAAGTTATTTACAAATATTCTTAATGTAATACATAAATTATAAACTTCATTTTGAAAATGATATAGTTTCATTTAATATTAAATATGATAGCTAGGTTATTTGTATCCCATATAATTTCATAAGATCATATATTTCTACCAAACATAGTATAAAAGATACGGTCGTTAAATATTTTGATTTAAACATCAGTCTTTTTTTTTCATTTTGATATACCGATGAACAGATGATGATAAATCTCCAGTGTGGAAAATTTTTAAAATCTTTCCCTTGATACAATGTTCCTGACATTCGGTCGGTACAAAATTTAATTTAAAAAATAAGCATGCTTCAGTCGCTTTTTTCATGTTGATATACCGATGAAAAGATGAACATAAAACTCCAATATAAATCTTATTAAAGTTTTACCTTAAGTTTATGAAATGGCACTGACAAACAGTCTCGCGGAACGTAGACATTGTGCACAAACGGGTTAACTGTTAATTTAGACGTATGTTTATGAATGATTTTGATAAAAAAGTAAAGACAACATATATTTATTTCAAAGGGTCAGTAATATGTTTAATTTCTCGTTTTCTCTAGCAACATTATAAGTATCCTGCTTAACCATGAAACATTTTATACAGTTAACGCCTCCTCCTACTTTAGCAGCCACATTTTCTAAGCTTCTCCTACTTAAGTAACAGCATTTAAGTGCGCATTATGAGAACAATCTAGGTTCCGCAGGGAAAATTTCCATAGAAAAAATACAACCCATCTTTTTTTTAATTATTTAAAAACAAATATGAAAATAGAAGGTATTTTTGCACATAAAAGTGTTCAAGGAGTCATATTTATAACTGGAGTAAAAAGTTATACATGTATCCGTAGTATAA